ATGCAAAAAAAGACCGTTAACCCAGTTTACAATGAAGCATTCACATTCAAGGTTACCTCGGAAACGCTGTCCAAAGTTACATTCAAGGTTCTTGTAGTGAACAAACATTCCCAGGGTTCTGATCAAATGGTCGGTCATGTGTTTCTTGGACAGCAAGTAACCGGAAGTGGGTTTGCACACTGGAATCACATGTTAGCCTCGTTGCGAAGACCTATCGCCATGTGGCATCCCCTACTTCCTGGCATATAAAACCGTGATGTGCACGTGATTTGAACCAAAACATATTTATTCCAGTTAAGGGGAGTTACTTTATTTCCGGCCTAACTAATCGAACGTTTGGAAATCGAACCCAATCGAACTATAATCGACATACTGGGATCTTTCCGATTCAATTGAAACTGGATGCGTTTTGTCTTTCTGCCGAACAAAATCGAACTAATCGCGTTGATTGAGTTCGAATGGTTCGGTTGAGTTTGGTAATCAAACTCACTGAAAAGTTACAGTTAGATTATGTTCGATTACAGAACCAATCGAACAACAATCCAACCGATTGGGTTCGAATGATTTTTGGTTCGGTTTCGACTAGCTTGGCCAGGTTTATTGAATTGGTGTTATGTTTATCCATTGATAACAGCGAAGTCGTAGCAACTTGCAATGTAAAGTTAGCAAAAGGTGAGATTTTAGGTTTTTTAGATAATATATTGTTCTATTGCAAATAGAGTAGATACTTTAATAACAAGTCAGCTAAGTTCCATTGTTCCCAATCTCGTAACACCAAACGTCCTTAACACCCGCTATTTTTTTTTCAGTGTGGCATAACTAGCCGTTTCAACATTTGTTTTCAAAACCTCTTCACCTCTTACAATACTTTGAGATTTGGAGACACACTCAATTATACTTGTCAAATCCCGGTTGATAAAAGCCAGGCTTTCTTGAATTCTTTTATGTAACACGGGACGAAAGTTTCCGTGCTAGAGAAATTGGGTTTCTCTTAATAGCAATTTTGTCTATTGGCTTTCCACAGCGATTCTTGTACTACTAAAACTGTCCTCATAAATTCATATGAAAAAAATCATTGTAAGAAACTTTCCTTCCGATCTCTACATTGTTCCCAAAAAAGGTTTTCCATTATTCTGGCCAAAAAATTAAAGCTAAAAACTCAATCATGTTCCTTTAATTTAAAGACACGTATCACCATGACTACATTCACCGAATTCGTTAGCCTGAGAAAACAGCCGACATTCCGCCATGCCACCATTGGTTTTCCCGCGAAATGACGTCTGAGAAACGAGCGCAGAATTCCATACTGATGAAGCGACACTACGTAGATCTGGGTAGCGCTTCTGAATGGCTGAAAATTTCAGTGCTTTAACCAATCAGAAGCACTACCCAGATCTGGTTAGTGCGCGTCATCAGTATGGAATTTCTGCGCTCGTTTCTCAGACGTTATTTCGCGGGAAAACAAGTGGTGGTGTGGCGGAATGTCGGTTGTTTTCTCAGGCTATGATTTCGTACGTGTTTTCTTCATGAATTATTTTTTTATGGAAAAATGACGTAATAGCAACTTCCATTGTCATTGTTTTAAATTTAATCATTAGAATAGGAGTCAATTAGTATATATTATATGGGTGATAATAAGGAGAGCCCTGGCGGCTAAATTAGGGAGGGGAGGGAAAAAAAAAAAGAGTTTCGTAAAAGCTTTAAAACAATTTGCGGTCAGTCGATCCTGAACGCAGATTGGACTCACGATTGTGTTTGGTGAGTTTGCTTAACCCTTTCACTCAAGAGTTAATGATAAAGTCTTAGTATATGGTGGTTCAATCTAAGAGACTGTTTACGTGGAGGGAGGAAGATCCTAGCACCAGGAAGATCCTAGTAGGCGGATCATCCGAGTGCCATAGTTTCTGTATTCAGTTTACATGCAAAAAGTTGTACTTGTTCCTAGTGCTAGGATATTCCTAGCTGAGAGGTAGGAAGATCCTGGTACCAGGAAGATCCTAGCACCATATAAACTGCCTTCACTAGGAAGATCCTAGTGCTAGGAACAAAACACACAAAAATGGCGGCGCGTTCAGACTGTTAACTAAACGGACCGAAATTTCAGCACCTTAATCCAACGAAAAGTTGTTCCTTCTAAGATCTTCCTCCCTCCATGTAAACAACCCGTACCTTTCAAGTCTGTTGACAAAATGCTACGGTATTTAAATGAAACCTCTGTGACAGTACTTGTACATAGTACTATTTGTTTTTCAGGGTTTTATGAAACGAAATTTGGAATCAGTTTTGTCTACTTCTCACGTTGGTTTCTCCTGTGAGTGATTGGGTTAAGCACGGTGCGAATTAAAAGTAAAATGTAAATAACACGAGAAGGCATTGAGGAGCCTTGTATCAAGGCTAAACGAAAAAGGGATTTATACACTTATCAAGAAATGTTCAAACCTCTCTTATCCACCCCTGAAGTAAAAAAAAATAAATAAATAATTAATAATAATAATAATAATAATAATAAAAAGGGTGAATAGAGTAAGTAATTGATGAGATTATAAATTCTGTAAGACAGAGAAAATTATTTTGATGTCTTGTAAAGAAATAATACAGAGTCCTACGCAAAGCAATAAAAGCTTTTACACCAACATAATGGAATTTATTGTGACCCCCATAATGAACACGTTTCTACTGTTCGCTATCTGGATCACCACAATGGCGTTTCGTCGCCGTAACTGGAAATCAGAAGAAACAAGTGAAACGGCAATTGTATTTATAAAGCACTTCTATTGTTGTTGTTACTTTTTTGTTATTTTATGATGAAGATAAAATACACGAGATCTGAAAGTGAGCAATTTATTTGATTTGCAATGCCACAGCCTCCTCGGTTACAAGTACACATTTACAATAGAGGTATAACATAACCACAAAAGCCCTGACTTTAAAAGGGCTAGATGAAGCAATTTTGGGCAAATTAAGTTCTAACAAATTTATCGTAGAATTAACTGTATTTTAAACAAAAAGATACCTCTCAAAACAACAACAGAGCACAAAAGAAATACAAGACATGGATGGGCGAAACTGGAAAAGATTACAGCGGACCGCTCTACTCTGGTAAACTTGCCCAGTTCTTTAAAGTTTACCTCAACTTGAACAAGAATTTCATTGGGAATCATCGGTGTACGTCATGGGGCCTTGCCATAGTTTTGTCATTGAAAGACTTTTGTTTTACCAATTTGAACGTTAGAGCTTGTGATTAACGAGAACACCCAAATCAACTAAAACTCCGTGGTGTAGCCCCCTTAAAAGAGCCATTGATTCACACGTAATTTTAACTAGTGACAAGTTAGACTTGCAATATGCAAGATAACCTGAAATCCCAGAAATTCCCTCACTTCACCAGACATTTAGGAAAAATAAACCCATAGCGTGCTTATGTTTACTTTGTGCGCAAATAAGACGATTTTCACTCGATAAAAAAGCTAAGCAGCCCAACCCTGGTTAATCGACCTAACCTGGTCCACGTTTTATAAGTCAATCAAATCAAAGATAGTTGCTTCAGTGCTTATATAGACCGGTTAGTGTCCTTTGCGTCTGTCACGTTACTTGGTTAGTCTAGCGCTTCTTTTCTGTAGGACGCATTTCCCGCCCTTTTTGACACACTCTCTTAGCTCCAACCATCCGATTTTCAGGGGATAAAATAACGTAAACAATCGGTTTCTACATACGTTTGACGCTGTTAAAGCTAACGGCTTTTTTATGGAGTTATTAGTTGCGTCCTCAGAACAGACATTTGATTAAAGCTGAAACTGTTAGTAATGGAGTTTCGAAAACTTTATAAACACCGCAAAACGTTTGTAAGGGTGAAAACGTTTTATTAAAACTAAATAGCTTGAACCGCAGAATTTGTCTCATAAATCCTGAAAAATGGACTATGAAGGTAGCCACTAATAACAAGGAAAAACAAAACCCCCGACTTTTAACTAACTTTTTTCATCGTGGGATTTTTCACTCTCAGAATCGATTGAAAGCGGAATCGATTCGCAGATCAAATTTTCTTCATGTGATTTGTCCACCACCCTATGCTAACCCAAAAATAAAATTCCCTGACACAGCATTGCACTTCAGTGGAACCTCGTTAAAAAAATCTGACAGTATTGGCCCTTGGGGTATTAGCGAGGTTCTCCGAAAAGCAATTGAGGGGTGTTACCCTCGCAGAATCAATATTAGTGGAATTGCTTCGCAGTTCGCCGTCACTCCTAACTTGGCTTAAGGTCTTTAAATGCCGCGATAAAACGCTTTTTTAAAATTTCTTTTCTGGTTCCTATTGAACAGTCAATGGACTCTTTATTTATTTTCGTAGGACTATCATTCCCAGATTTTACCAGCCCAAATCCAGAAATGGTAGACTACCGCTAGGTCGAGCACCTCAGTTCACTATTAGAGAACTTTAGATTGAAGGACGAGGACGAGATTTGACTTAAATTTTTCCTCGGCGTATTCTCAAAAAATAGACACCCGGAAAACTTCATCCTACCTTGTTTCACTACAAAAGTTTACACGGTTATTTTTATTGACGACGTTTTAAGCCCTCTTCCGATTGCAAAATGATAAAATTTCCAACATTTGGTAACTTGTTTCCGTCACTACGACACCTTCGCTAAATCTTGTAGTACAAGGACCACGGCCATAGCGTTTTCCCGCCAAAATGACGCTGGTTCACGCGCGCACCACTTAGCATTGAAACAATCTCGTTCTCGTAGACGACCTCGTCTCAGAATCTGAAGGTCTCTATTATTCCTGGATTTTTTACGACTCTCAGATCATTAGTGTTAAAATTATACTGAGATTAATGACGTAAGGGAATGGTATTAATTAACCAGGGTTGAGCTGTCAGTAAAAAAAAAGGATCAAAGATAACTTTTCGAGGCTTCCTGTGCTGAGTAGTCTTTGAGCGCCTTCATCACATCTTTTCTACTAAGTGGCATGATGGCACCATACGATATGTCAGTGGGCCATGCAAACAACGAACGCAAGACCCTAAAATCACCTGACTCTGGGTTTACGAAGTAAAAGTCTGCTTTCCGCTGGCCGTCTGCGCAAGTGCTGAAGTCGAGAATAACAATGGTTCCGTTGATACAAGTCACGTATGGTCGCGTGATCCTTGCTTCTTCAAGAATAGCGGGATCGTGCAACGCAAGGTTCGATTTGACTGGCAGTGCCACGGCTAAATCAGCGGTTTCTAAGCAACCGCATTTCCCATTCACTCTGCACTCGTTTGACGTCACATGGAGACACGACCCTTCTTCTGACTGCCCTCTCAGCATGTACAACTTATTTACCTGAATTCTGATGACCTGCCAATCATCTGTCGCTGGATTGTAAACCTCGCAGTCGGTTGGGGTGATGTCTTCACCTCGCTCTCCACCAATCACGAAGATCATGTCACTGTGAACAAACGCAAACGCGCTGGACCGAGGCTGGTGCATGGACTTGACATAGGACCAACGATCCTTCAGCGGATCATACTTTTCGACTGTCTTCAGGCACTCTCTGTGGGCCGAACCGTCCATGCCTCCAAACACGAAGATGTACTTGTCCTTGTAGTTTACCGCTGTTAGCTCGTACCGCGGCTCACACATGTCTGCCACCGTTGCCCACGTCTGCCTCTCAACATCATATCGCTGGACAGTTTTGACTTCTGACACCTCCTGCATGGACATACCGCCAATCAGGTAAATATATCTGCCCATCGTGACCGCGGCGCAGTCGAAGGTCATTGGCGCGCATGGTTCTATGTCCGTTGTCGGGGCAACGCAAGGGGTGGGTAGAAGATGACGAGCGGTGAGGGGATTTCTGTGAAAAGCAAGCTTGGGATTGTTCCACGGAACCTGTACATAGAGTCCAGAGTTGGTGTAAATAAGAGGTGTGCCATTCGCCAGCATTGATTTGTTATGAGGAATGCGAGCGATGAGTGACCACGGACCAGCAAAGGGAAGCCAGAAACACAGGTTATAGGAGTGCGTGTAATGCAACCTGTGGGTGAGGCCAAATAACACTACATTGTGAAAATGCGCGGTCTTAAGGACTTCATCGACTGAAACATCATCCTTCAGCTTGTAACCAGAAAAATTGGACAACTCGTCGATGTTTTCGTCGACAGCAAGTTTCTTTAGATAAAGATCTGGGATGCTGGTCATGTGGATGAGATTCAAAAGTCTTTTAAATGACTCTTCTCTTTCCTCTCTTGCGTGCTTGTACCAGCAAATTAAAGATTCCAACATTTGCGCTTCACTGGACAAAATATCGTCATTTGACAAGAACCAACGCATATCTTGGTCTGTGATTTCAAGGAATTCACCAGAGCGGGCAATACTCCAGAAATGATTACAAACGAAATTTAGCATCTCCTGATAAACTTCATCGAGGCAAACGAAACTTCTAACAAGGGAATATATCCACCAGAAGTTTGCTAGCGTTGACGAATCCTTTACAAAGTCAATTATTCTTCTCTTCAAATGTTCTATTAACAAATAATCGCTGGCTTGTAGCAAGTTCCTTGCATTATCAAATGTAATGGAAATCTCTCCACTGTAAACGAAGTTCAGTAACTCTTCGACAATGCCCTCATCTATAACACCCAAATCAACATTACTTTCCTGAACCTCTTTCATTTCAGATCTGAACAACCCTTTAAAATAACAGCTTACTGCCGCAAGGACATTTTTATGAACAGGAATCACTCTACCACTACACGTTGTCAAAGTGAGGTCACAGTATAATCCTTCAACCTGAAAGGCTAACAGTTTCGTCAAAACAGCTTCTTGAATAAGTGAATTAAACTTTGATTTACACTTTGAAGTAGACCCTTCTTTTTCAACCACTTGCTCCAGATAGTGGTTCAGTAAATCAAGTAAGCCCAAAACTTCGGCTACTTTACGCATTGGTGCTGCACTGAGCTGATCAAGTTTACACTTCCCAGTGTATAGAAAGTTAAGAATATTTTCCATAGTTCTCGGATCAACTTTTTCAAATTCACGACAAGTACTTTGAGAGACATCATCTTTTGAAAACAGCTCCCTAAAGAAAGCCGATCCAGCGGCTAAAACGTTTTTGTGAGCTGGAAAATCTGTGCCGTTTGCTTTAATAATGAAGTCCGTAAAAAGCCCGACATTCCGAAAACTATTGAGAGTTTCAAGTAACAACAGTTGATAGGAAACCTGTGGAGAGTCAGGCTCGTCGTCGTCTGTCCTTGATTCTGAATCTTGTATGTTGTTTTCCTCACTGGCTGCCAATGACAAATCCACATCACTTGGATGTAGCAAATCTAATGGATGATCCTGGTCTGCACTACATGCGCATATACATTTGGAGGAAACGCCACCCATCTTAGTCACACAACAAAACTGACTTACTTTCTACTTGCATGTCACACAACATCTCTTTGTCACACACTACAGATTCATTTCCTTTTTGCCATGCAGCAGGTACTGTACTTGGAGGGGAAGCGAGTGCCTGCCCTTGATGCCTCCTCTAACTTGTGTTTTTGCTGTAATATTTTAGCTGAAAAACAGAGAAAGAGTATAAGATGTTAAAAGTTGGTGATGCACACCTTTCATAAGAGTAACAATAATAATAATAATAATAATAATAATAATAATAATAATAATAATAATAATAATAATAATAATAATAATAATAATAATAATAACAACAACAATAATACCAGGGGATAAGAGAATTGGTGAAAAGGAGAATGAGAAGGTTGAAAAGTATCAGAAGCTTAAAAGAGAAATTGCAAGGATGTGGAACATGAGAACTGTGTTAAATAAATAAATAATAGTTTATTAAAACTCTCTCACAGAAAAATCTGAATTAATGAGTTAAACAAAAGAAGCTTAGAGTAATTCAGAGGATTTACATTGTAGTAAAATAAAAATTAATCATACTAGTTGAAATATCGAAATGTAAAAAAGTTCTCTGCCCTCTTTGTCCTACAGGTAATAAACTCATTAAACAATAGAATTTGCCTGCATCCTTCCTTAGATTCAGACGATTGTACTCAGCAGCATGCAAAGAAAGTAGTGTCCGATAGCCCGGGGCTAGTGGATTTTGCTATCAGGCTAGTGAATTCTGTTTTTAACTTGCCTGATGGGCAAGTGATGTTTTATGAGGAATTTGAATAACAGAAGAACAAAAAGTTTTTAGGGCTAGTTGAAATGACATCTGGGCTAGTAAACGCTAGCCTCAGCTTGCCCGAATAGCAAGCTGTAAAAATGATTTTCTTTGCACCCTTCTCAGGCTGATTAATGAGTGTCCTTGTCATTAAGGAGTGTAAAGGATGATCCATAGACTCTATCTTATCCATGCATTTAACACAAATGTCATCACTTCTTTTCTTTAGTCTTGCTATATTTGCTATTTGCAAGGCCTCCAAACAGGACTCAGTTACAGGATAAATTAACCTCAAAGCCCTTTCTTGCACTCCTTCTATTAAATCGGATAAATAGTCCAGAATAGGGACATACAGGGACGGCATATTCTAATACAGGTCTTACTGTACTTAGAAAAACCCTTAAGAATGTTATCTTGGGTCACTCCAGCCCTACATAATATCCTAAGAGAGTATAACTTCTTACTGGCTTTCTTGACAATGAAATCTACCCGGTTATTCCATTTAAGTTCATTGTTTATTATTACTTCTAAGATCTTATAATTTTCAACCTGCTCTATAACATTGTTACCCATTACAATATGGTTAAGTGACGAGTTAGAATTGGGAAGGAAATTAATAAACATCTCTTTACACATAGCTGGATTAAGTTTCATGTTATGAGATAAAATTTGCGGCAGCCATCTTGGCATGCTTACAGTAAACAGGTAGGATCATTGGACGATGAACTTGGATGAGTGGCTGGAAAGGTTGGACATAAGAATAGTATTTCATTACTCCAAAAAACTATGCTACTGGGAACAGTAAGAAGGTGAACTCTAAGGGGCCTTTGGTCATGGGTTATGACTCACTCCCATAGCAAATAAATTGGTATGAGATGAGCCAGTGCACAAAGCAGGAAATAATAATAATAATAATATTTTTTCTCTACTCAGTTGATACAATACATATCAAATATACTCAAACCTCCTGTAAGTGACCACCCCAAAATCAAAGATTTAGTGGTTGCATATGAAAACAGGGGGGCATCTTCCAAGAAAAGGTCCCAACACATGTATTTTTTGGAAGACTGTTTGTTGCATGTAATTTCTAGGTTATGTATAAGTATAGTACCATGTTGTCACTGAAAGCTCTTGTTATACTCAGAGTGGCGCAGTTTGTAAAGCAAATGGAAATCACATCATGCATCATGCCGTTGTTTACGAGAGGTTTAAAACAATGGAAAATAATAACCGTCCAGTGGCCAAAAAGTGGTTGTGGACTGGCTTATGAGAGGTTCTAATTATAGGGATTTGAAATGAAATGTTTTTAATTCGAATAATTTTTTTTAATTAAATGAATTTTTTCTAATCAAAACTAAGGGTTTTTTAAATGAAAGAATAATTGTAAATAGTGTTTTGACAGAGTAGTTTTTTTAGGTGAATTGATTATAAATAGGATTTTAATAGTTAGCATTTTATGAGGAAAATTTTGGAGTTTAAGTTTTGGATTAGGTGGCCAATTATGGGAAGTGGTCACTTATGAGAGGAGGTAGTACATGGAGGTTTGACTGTATTCATAAAATATAACTACATATGACTAACTACAAACGGCTGTCATTAATTGCCGGTAGCAGGCCAAAACCATTGGCTAGTTAGCCATCCTTAGCTGACTACTTTCATCTCCTTCTACCATAACCGCTAACAAAAAAGAAGCATGATTATGATTAATATTATGATTCAATAAAAATATTTTGCCATTTCTGATTGTGCAAATCCCACAAAACAAGAATAGACAAAAATGCCACTTGATGCTTTATAAATTATATCTGCTAAAAAAAAAAACATCCCTTCATACCCAGAAACTGTTAGCAAAAGGTAAATGTTTGGCAGACAGGAACTTTATATAAAAGAAAGCCAGTCTTGGAAATATTTTGAATGAATCATAAAACAATAATAATTATTAGTTTTTATAATAAATTATTGGATATTTTGGCATGCATATGATAGGACGAATAATAAAGTTAATTCAGGAGGATGTTATTAGCCGACACCAGTGGAGCCAAGGGGGATAACACCTAGCATACTTAGCCTCATCCAATAATAAATAATAATGATGATACTAATAATTGAAAAATAATTATTCATGTATCAAGGTGTTAAGCTTTACGGTAAATGAGCGATTCAAGCGAGATAATTTAAATTGTTAAAGTTTAAACCTATGGCTAAAATTGATTCACTAGCCTACTAAGGGTTTTCTTGTCCTCTTTCAAGGCTCATTACTGCTAATTAAAAACAAACAAACAAAGACGCTTAAGAGCTATTTTTTAAATGTGTTGATGTGGTTTTTACATGATGCCATCGTAAGCTCGTTAAAGCGTCTCACCAAGAATCATCAATAAATATACCTAACATCACCATGATTTCAGCTTACGTAAATCATCATTGTACGTTCAACAAATCTATCCGATTTAACCATCACAGCAGTACATTAGTGAAACATCCATTAAGTTGCTACACCCGGCGAATAAAGCTTTTGAATCGATTACCCCTTCTGCAGTTCTGGGCAAAATGAGAAATCGATTTTTACATTGTTAGAGTAAAGAATTAAAGGCTTTTCATACCTCTCATCCACACGCTATCGTCTTGGCAGAAAATCGTTTTACTGGTAATCATAAACATATAATATTCATGAAAATGATCAAGATCCATCAAAATCAATTAAACTTTCAGGGATGTTTCCCATAAATCACACTGACATCAACGCGCCATTTTGAAATGCCACTCGATCAGAAGACTGGAAGCTACTACTAACCAATCGGAATCACCACGGGTAAGCGACGGGGGATATTTCGGGCGCGCGTCGCTGGTTCTTCGGGTCTTCGTCAATAGGCCGCAGATGTTCAATTGCTTTTAGAAAAGATCGTGCGAAAATACACTGTAATTCCACGCTACATTGAAGAAGAAAGGTAGGAATACACTTTTGAAAGTTTCTTGTTTATTTTGAAAATGGCTGACAAAAATTGTTAACTACTGTTAGAGTTTATTTCACTGAAAATCTTGATCAACCAGGTCTGTGAATTATGTTCAGCTTGTTTAAATTAACAGCTGATATTTTGTCAAAGCTATGGTAAAACGAGCTATAAAAAGTGCATCTTGAATTGTTTTGCCTCATTGCTACTAAAGGAGTTGAAAGCCGATGTTGTGCTTTTTATCACCCTCGTTCAAACCTGTCTTCCATCAAATCAGGTCGCCTATTCGCGTGGAGAGACATGAGACATTGTTGCAAGTGATGCTGAATAGGCCTTGTCACGGTTTTCGACGCCATCTTGACGAGTAGGCAAACGCGCGAGAAATTACAGTGTTTGTATGAGAATCTAATGCCGAATAATTTCCGTAGAACGGCTGCTCTGAAAAAAATATGATTTGTAAACTAAAGCTTCACTCCTAAGGATTCTCCTGAAAACACTTGAGGGCGTTACATGCACTAGAAGACCTAGAGCCACTTTTTAAAATTTTCTATACATTTGTCTGTAAGAAAGTCCCGGGAAAATTACAGACAAATATATGGAAAATCTAAAGCAAGCCTCTGGAGAAGTTTAAGCACAGGTAAACCCCCCAAATTTTTTAGGACAATCCTTTGCTTGGAGCTTTAGTTTACAATTGATATTTTTTTCAGAATAGCCGTTTTATGGAAATTATTCGACATTTATAGATTCTCATACAAACACTGTAATTTCTCACGCGTTTGCCTACTTGTCAAGATGGCGTCGAAAACGGTGACAAGGTCTATTAACAAATCGACAAATTCTTTCCTTGGTCAATTTAACGAAAAGATTTGATGTTGCTGTGCGTCTGTTCAGTAATAGATCACCGATCTAAAAGTGGCGCACGAGCTAGCCTACATGTACCATCCCCCGATTCAGGACTGTGCTCTAGCAGAGCCCAGTGGTGCCTGGCACCCAACTTTTGCTCCTGGCTGGGCACCCTAGATTTTACAGGTTCAGAGCACTGGGCACCTTTCAATTTTCCTTAGACCACAGCCTTGCCCCCATTCCTATGGAATTTGCTTTCCTCCAGTCTTGCCCCTCACAACTAAAAGTTAATAAGATTTTAAGTTGCTGGGTAGAGTAAATATAATACAAAAAGCAGGCGGTGAATCAAACAACTGGGGATTTCTTTTGGTTTTGTTTTTGTTCTATTTTCCTACAAAAGAAGCCATGGCCCGGTTCCTCGAAAGATGGTAAAGTTTAACCCAGGATTAAGCCCAATTTGAAGCAAGGTTTTCTTGTCTAACAACATGTAACTGGAGCTTTCAAAATACTGTTAAGCCTCTACTCCGACATAGTAATGATAACAGAAAATGTGACTCCAAGCAATACACAGAAAGGTAAAATACAAAAATGGAACAAAATTTTTATCCTGGATTAGCACTCGCCCTTCAGGAACTGGGCCATAGAGTCTAATCCTCATAGCTGTGGGAAATCCCTTGCTCTTGGCCTGTAACAACAGCCCTGTGGGATGGTAAGAAAAACAATAAAATCCCCATTTACCTGGGATTTTCCTAACATAATATAAAGTTATCAGCAGCCTTCCTAGAATGTAAGCAGTCTCTTATTTTCGTAGCTCCTAAGTTAGGGGGGTAGTAAGCATTAGTGACACATGAGTGTTGAATCCTCAAACCACAGGAAAAACTAAGCAGCCTTTGTGTTATTTCTTTGCACAATATAAATCACTGTTTTCTTTTTCTTCTAATTCAGAAGGTTTCCAATAACTTTCACATTAAAATGTATTTATAATAATGCACTTTCGTTACTGGAGTGTTGTAGTGCGAGTGGCTAAGTTCAGTCTTCAACCAATTGGTCCAGCTGGAGTTAAGCTAAATGAGCTGGTTGTTCTCATTAATAAAAATTATTAATAAAGTAGTAATAAATGTTATTATTATTATTTAATGATATGGCAGTATGACACATCTGGATGCCCATGCAGCATTAGTAAAATAACCCAGGAGTTGAGCATGTGAATTATTAAACAATTATAAACACTTATAGAGAGGAGAAGTCGTTATGTCACATTGCCGTGGTAGTAGAATTTCAGCATGACAACAGTGATCTTATAAAATTATTTCATCTATTTTTCAAATGTTGCCAAAATTTTTTCGGGTTGAATCCGAAACGTCCATATCTAAGTTTTAGAAAAAAGAAGACAAAATTTTTCGGTGTTGTGTTCACCTACTCCATAAAGCAGGTATGTGAAATTAGGAAGTTTCATGTTGTAGTCGTAGAATGACGGCTAAGAAATGTACAAAAAAGAGTGATGCACATGCAAAGCTGTTGTTTTGCTAATATAAACCAACTGTTTTTTGTTACGTTCTCATTGCCATCGCTGTCATCGTTGCTTACAAGCTCCCTATTGTTGTGATCCAGAAATCTTGCAACCATGGTAACATGACATCACACTTATCCTCTCTATTGGATGAGGTTTTTGTGATATCTGGAATAGTCAAAGTCGAGGTAAGTGTTATCAGCCAAGCCAAAGGCTGAGGCTGATAACACTGACGGAGTGACCTTGATTAGTAGGACATGATGCAAACTTAATCTAATGTTTTATCATACATTCGTTTGAAAAAAACAATGACAAACACAGTGTCACACAGAACAGACTTTGTGCTGTAGTTGGTAATCATGCAAAAAATGCACGCCCAACCTACAGATTTGTCAGTTATCCGCTACCAGATAACTGACTCATCTGTGGGTTGTGCTGATTTCCAAAATTAGCTGTAGGCTCTTAGCCTATGAGCTTTAGAAGATGTTCTGAATTTTCTTTACCTTGGAAAGTGTGCGCTGCATGAGCAGAATGTTGTTTCAGTAGTAAAAGTTGCACAGTTGTTTGGTTTACAAGATTTGCAAGAAGCTTCAGAAAAGTATCTTTCCTCACTAGAAAAGAAATGCCTCATCTCTCACATGACATTTGTATCTCGTGAAGAATCCATTTTGCCAGCCATCCAGGAATTTCAAGTTCAGGGATTGTTCTGTGACGTCACTTTGACCACCAGTGGTGGAAGGGTAATCCCTGTCCATAAAAACATTCTGGCAGCTGTCAGCGGTTATTTTCAAGGACTTTTTAGATCTGAAATGAAGGAGGTCCATGAACATAATGTTGACTTTGGATCTATCGATGAGTCAGTAGTCAGTGATTTACTGTGTTTTGTATACAGCGGAGAGATTTCCATTACCCTCGACAAATCCAAGAACTTACTTCAAGCTTGTGAGTACTTGTTAATAGAAAGCTTCAAGAGAAAATTTGATACGTTTCTGAAACGTAAATTGACAGTATAAAATTTTTGGAAGCTGTTTGCCTTAGCAAAGTGCTTTAATGGCTTGTCAGAGACTACCAGTGAAATCTTCCGAACAGTCGCAGGTCATTTTTGGGAAATATCCAAATCAGAAGAATTCTTGGAGATCACTGAAGCAGAACTGAACCGCTTTCTTTCAAATGACGATATTACTACCAGTGAAGCTCAGATGTTGGAAGTTTTAATCCGTTGGTACAAATATTCAAGGAATCAGAGAGAAGAACCTTTCAAGAGGCTTCTTCATCTCATTCACATGTCTAGTATCCCTGACTTGTATCTCAAGTTCGTTGCTGAAAAGGAAGATGTCGTTGAGCTGGCTTCTTACAATGGTCATCGGCTGAGGGCAGAAGTGCCTTTGGATGAAATAAAGAAAACAGCACATTTCTACAATCTGGCATTATTTGGAGCGACAGGTGACTACAACAACAGTTTTGCTTGCTACTGGCTGCCCTTCGCTGGTCCCTGGTCGTTCATTTCTTCAATACAACAATCAACAGCAACTCGCAGGAACCCATTAGTTTATGCAGACGGAACTCTCTATTTTCATAATTACTCACAGTTATATCGTTTTGAGAAGATTCGTCTTTCTTTCGTGATCCACGCACTCAGTTTGAGACATTTTGATCCAATGAAATCATATGGAAGGTTAAGCACGTTTACAGAGGAACCTACTCCAGTTGAGGACCCTGTGACCGTTGCGTTCTCTAATTACATCTATTTCATAGGAGGTGGCACCCCTTCTGGACGGGTTAGTACTGTTCAACGTTTTAACACCGATAACCAATCTTGGGAGCTTGTGTCGAGTATGCAGGAAGTTCGTTGCCGCCACTTTGCAGTCAACTACAAAGACAGTTATATTTACGTCTTCGGAGGCGTCGACACGTCAAGTGTTGAAAGGTATGATCCAAAGGAAAACCACTGGTCTTTTGTAGCATCCATGCATCAACCTCGTTGTGATGGCCAGGCTTGTGTTTTAGCAGACAAAATTTTGGTAGCCTGCGGCCATCTGGCATGCGAAGTGTATGATCCGCTTACCGATGAATGGCAGATTGGTAGTTTTCAGATCCGAAGAATTTATACCTTAAAGCCATTAAATGAAAGGAAAGATGTCGGAACCCTCTGCGAGGAAGTCTTCCGCAGTGATGATTTCAATGGAGACAGCGGTGGTGACTTCAAGATAACTCCAGAGACAGACCCTCTTGGGCTAAAAAATGGTCTGCCATGCGATAAGAAGTGTTATGATTATCAGGATGCCCGCAATGTATCTTTTACGTATTATAACGGAGTTATTATTGTCTTCAATTTTGACGAATTTAGGAAAAAGAAATTAAGGACTTTAAAGTTTCCAGTTTATTTTGTTAACCCAGAAACGGGTAATTTTACGATCCTGCATTCACTACCGTCCTGGCCCAATGACGTATCACGTGGGATCTTGGTACCTCTGAGCCGGAAGGAAATGATCACGGTATTGAAGGACTATCCTGGGAACAAATCGTAATCTTTGACGGCTATTTTGAGTATGTGTGTAGTGTTAGGATGCTGACAAGGAGGATTGAATNGCAGTCAACTACAAAGACAGTTATATTTACGTCTTCGGAGGCGTCGACACGTCAAGTGTTGAAAGGTATGATCCAAAGGAAAACCACTGGTCTTTTGTAGCATCCATGCATCAACCTCGTTGTGATGGCCAGGCTTGTGTTTTAGCAGACAAAATTTTGGTAGCCTGCGGCCATCTGGCATGCGAAGTGTATGATCCGCTTACCGATGAATGGCAGATTGGTAGTTTTCAGATCCGAAGAATTTATACCTTAAAGCCATTAAATGAAAGGAAAGATGTCGGAACCCTCTGCGAGGAAATCTTCCGCAGTGATGATTTCAATGGAGACAGCGGTGGTGACTTCAAGATAACTCCAGAGACATACCCTCTTGGGCTAAAAAATGGTTTGCCATGCGATAAGAAGTGTTATGATTATCAGGATGCCCGCAATGTATCTTTTACGTATTATAACGGAGTTATTATTGTCTTCAATTTTGACGAATTTAGGAAAAAGAAATTAAGGACTTTAAAGTTTCCAGTTTATTTTGTTAACCCAGAAACGGGTAATTTTACGATCCTGCATTCACTACCGTCCTGGCCCAATGACGTATCACGTGGGATCTTGGTACCTCTGAGCCGGAAGGAAATGATCACGGTATTGAAGGACTATCCTGGGAACAAATCGTAATCTTTGACGGCTATTTTGAGTATGTGTGTAGTGTTAGGATGCTGACAAGGAGGATTGAATTCTCCACGGTGGGGAGGCTGAAGCGAACCAGATAGCGATGCTGAGGAAAGTTTACTGAAAGAAAATCATGGCGCTTTGAGCCACACGAGTAGTCAGCGAGTCCGTTGTTAGGCAGAACAAAATCTTTCTAATCCACGAGATAATATCTGCTTCATATTTCAGATGGTCAAAGAAAAGTGAAACGTCCTTGTGCGCTACATACGTTCTTCGCAATTTCTACAGCTAATTACGTTTGAAATGGGGCTGCAATTCGAAATAAAATAGATTAAATTTTGTTCGACTACTGACCTAGCCTGCGTGTTTAGCGTTCGAAAGAGATGGGGAAAGGGGAGGATCGGTCGTGGAAGAACACGAAGGACAAGCCCGTTTCTAACGCCTGTCACGCACGCTCAAAATGAAACTTCGTAGTTTGCTGCCGAGAGCAGAACATTCCAACTTTCTTTATTGATTTTGCATCAATGCACGCAACAATCTGATTCCATCTTTGCGAGCAATGCACAAATGTACAATTTCCCAATAAATTGTAAGTTACACAACAGCTGCTGTAACGGTTTAACTTGTGCAGCAGGCCTCAATCCGGCATGGTATATTCTGAAATTTACTGGTTTAAGACTGATTTCGTACTTAGATCTCCGTTCGAGATTATTTTAATGCTTTCACTACAGTAGGTATGATTTTTAATCGAGATTTAGATTGCCTCAGTACCACCAAGTTATGAAGGCAACAAATATGAGAACAAAATCTGATTTGCTTCTAGTTTCCCTCGACAACATACTTTTTTAGTGGATTAGGCTAACGTTATGTAATTAAAGCCATTCGAACGGTAATACTTTACATCTTCCTAGTTTGGGCACCATCCTTGTCCTTACTGATCCGAGTGTTCAGGCTTTGCGGCTTTTACTTGATTGTAAGGTCAGTTTTTAAGCAGAATTCGTTGATAACAACAAGATAACTCTACCTACAATCAGCTGTAGTTCAGAGATAATTTGGGGCTCGCCTGAGAAACATTTCGCGATGCCACTCCGCTACTGGTTTCCCTGCGACGGAAATGACGTCTGAGGAAAGATCTCAGAAATTCCATGTTGATGACGTGTCACTTACAGCTACTCAGATCTGGGTAGTACTTCTGATTGGTTGAAGAAATTTTTAAGCAAAGCACTACCCAGATCTGCGTCATGATGCGTCATCAGTGTGGAATTCATCACCTAGTTCCATCATTTCGTAGGGAAACTACTCATGGTGGCGTCGCAAAATGTAGGCTGTTTTCGCAAGGCTAATTGACCACTCCAGATAATACCATAACATACCATAATGCTCTTTGTTTGTCACCCTAAAATTTTACATAAGCATTGTCTTCAGTTTCTCTTTGGAGTTAAAATGGCCCCAAGCGAAACTGAAAACAATGCTTATGCAAAATTTTTGGGTGACAAACAAAGAGCATTATGGTATATTATGGTATTTTCTGGAGTAGTCACAGTTTAGGGATGGCTGGAGGGTGATGTTTATCTATCGTAAATTTTAAAGGCCGTTTGCTCAAAGAACAGCCCTTAGTGTAAAGCGTTTTGTCAAGAATTTCTTTACGTACTGATTTCTGAAATTTAAAGTTTAACCCTCTTCATTTCCCTTTACTTTAACTGCGAAATTATTAATACTTTTACACTGTTTTCTCTTCAGGTGTAACAGACGCGGGGCAGCATCCAAAGGATCCGAAATATGTGGCACATGTCACGTCAGTAGAATTCATTAACACCGCTAAAATCATTCGTCAATACAGCTTCAAAACAACGGTACCAGAATGGGTGGTTTCGTGTCAACGTTTCAGTGTTTGGGCAGAAATGATCTACCAGATGCAGACCGAACAAGAGATCCCATTGAAAACATTGAAGGAATAAAACTATCACTCTCCCAAGAGATACAGTCACCTCGCAAATCCGAAGATGATGGTCTAGAAAATGATTTGTACAGTGTCTCGCTTACTGATACTCTTAACAGATTTAGGCTGGAGAAACGTTTTACTGATTTTATCATCAGTGTCGACGGGAACCACTTTTCAGCCCACAAGAATGTCTTGGCGGCCAGCTGTGAGTTCTTCAGAGAGATGCTCAATACATCTCAAGAAAATTGTTACGAGATCAAAAATGTGGAACCCAAAGCCGTCGATGAAGTTCTAACTTTCCTTTACACTGGAAAGTGTTGGATGTGTGAACAAAATGCTGCTTCAGTTCTTTCTGTTGCAGGTCTTCTGGGTTTGTGTGATTTACAAGATGCTTTGGAAATTTATCTTTCACCAGCGGAAAGTGCATATAGGCATGAGCATGCTTGTGCAGAAGGAAAATTATTCGTACAAAGTAAAAACTCGCTTTTGATAGCAATCCGGGGATTTCAGGTTGAAGGAGTATTTTGTGATGTCTCATTGACAACTAATTGTGGAAGCATTATCCCAGTTCACAGAAACATTCTGGCAGCGGTCAGTGGTTACTTTCAAGGGCTTTTACGATCTGAAATGAAGGAGGTGAAGGAACGATATGTTGACTTGACGATGGTTGATGGCGTAACTGCCAGTGAGCTGCTAAAATTTCTTTACTTGGGAAAAATTTCTATCACTTTTGACAACGTCAAGAGCTTACTGCAGGCCAGTGATTATTTGTTGATAGATACCTTGAAGACGACAATTGCCAAGTTTCTGACGGATTCACTGTCTATGTCCAATTTTTGGCAGCTGTTCTCTCTAGTTAAATCCTTCGGTTTTCTGAAAGAGATTCCTATTTCGAGAATAGTCTGCAGCAATTATTGGGATATCAGCAACTCGGACGAATTTTTAGAGGCGACAGAAGAGGATATGAAATTTTTCTTATCAAATGACGATATTCTGTCAAGTGAAGCTCAAATCTTAGAATCTCTGATCCGTTGGTACAAGTTTTCGATGAAGCAAAGAAAAGGATCCTTTCAAAACCTTCTTCATCTCATTCACATGGCCAGCATTCCAGATTTGTATCTCAAATTCCTTGCCGATAAGGAAGCGATTGTTGAGTTGTATTCATATGCTGGTCACCAAAGAAAAGAAAAAATACCCTTGGGCGAGCTTACCAGAACCGCACACCTCTACAATCTGGCGGTAGTGGGAATTACAACGGATCCCGACTGCCCTGGTATCCAGATGTTCTACTGGCTTCCGTTTGCAGGTCCTTGGTCGTACCTTTTTTCTATACACACTCATCCCATAAATTGGTGTGGAGGCCGGCCGTTTATCTACCACAACTATGTGCTGTACCTGCAACTGTACCGTCGAATCCAACTTGGTTTCTTCAAGGGCCCGTTAACTGCAAGGAAATCTAGAAACTCGTCGTTGGATCCAGCTACCCTCACAGAAAGTTTGTCCACCGAAACTGAAGATTGTGCCGCCGTTGCATTGGACAGATGTATCTATGTAATAGGAGGAATCTTTGAGAGCGAAGTTCTTAGCACTGTTCAACGATATAACTCTACTTCACAATCGTGGGAATGTGTCGCGAGCATGCAAGAACAGCGTTACTACCACTGTGCTGTTAATTATCAAGATAGGTATATTTACGTACTTGGCGGAGCGGAGGGTTTGGGTTGCCAGCAACGCATTTACAAATCAACTGTCGAAAGATATGACCCAGAGAAAAATTGCTGGTCATATGTGGCGTCGATGCATCAACCTCGAATTAATGGCCTAGCTTGTGTGTTAACCCACAAAATCTTTGTACTTGGGGGAGAAACGGTAGACGGTAATCCTCCAAATTGCGAAGTTTATGACCCGTTGACTGACGAATGGCAGATGGGTTGTTTTCAGCTTAAAGAAGCTACTTTACCCAAGCTTAATCCCCATACTGGCAGTTTTCGCAGACAATTGTTTGAAAGTGACGGCAATGACGATGGGTCTAGAGATTCCAGAGCTCGTTCACCACATAAAGCCTTTGACTGGCGCTTTGTCTACACTCCTTCTGTCACATGTTGTAATGGACTCATTATCCTGTTCGATTTTGGTCTATATTGGGATAATGGAGTACGGCTTCCTGTGTACTTGGTCAACCCAGAATCTGGTAACTTCAAGATTCTGTATTCCTTGTCATCACCATTCGATGAATACGTATCACGTGGGGTCATTACCCCTCTCAGCCGAAAGGACATGATGAGTGCGCTCGTTAGAGGTCTATCCTGAGAACAAACTTGTTTTTAATTTTGTCATGTGTTATAGAAAGGGATACTCTGAGTCCCTCCTTTTTTACCACATACAGTCAACTCCCTTTATAGCGGACACTGTGGGAACCTTGAGTTAGTGTCCTCGTTAGCGAGAGTCCGTAATAGCGCAAGTTTATTTTAGTCAAATATCTGCAATTTATTTTTGCCTGGGATTTAGCTGCTGTCCGTATTATCGGGGTGTCCGTTATAACGGGGTGTCCGTAAGGCGAGAGTTGACTTTAATTATAACAATACTAAGAATGCTTCATTTTCATACAGCCAAACGTGAGCCATGGCATGAGCTTCTTTTTGGGGGCTACACGCACCAGGTGATGCTGTTGAAGGAATCCCAGTTTGAGACCATGCAAATCAAACCGGCTCTGGTTGTAGGGATCTTAAGCACTGAACCACGACGACAATCGCAAAACAAACGTAAAAAAGCAAAAAATTAACAAAAAAAACAACTCAACACGAGTATGATACTTTGATGGGTTTTACGTGCCTTTACTGGACGACTGCAAAGTGAAACTTCCTAACGTGATGTTTTACGGAGGACGTAAACACACGAGGACGGGGTCGTACGAATTCGACTCCGTTTAAGTCCTGGAAAAATCCTCTGTATTTGAAAAACTGAGTGACTTTTAATCATCGCGGTGAAGTTTGAAACACTGCGTATTCAAATTGTCTGAGACCTTTTTGATGCCGTCGCCATTTTGGTTGCTCATGTTCGCTATTTATTCTTTTTTTTCTAGCAAAATCAATGTATGCTTTTCTTTTAATTTGATCTGGACTTTTGAAGGGGTGAATGAGCAAGTGACTGGTACCTGGCAAAATCTGAAAACAATATTGCGAAAACGCACAAAAGAAACATAAGAGCACCTTGACAAAAGAGCAGGTTTCTCTTGTTTGTATTTTACAAATTATTTGCCGCTGCACATAGACAAGAACTCCTCGAATCTGAAGCTGTGAATGAGTGTCAGCTCCACATTTCTGTGAACAAAACATCTTGCATTTGTTCTGGCTCATTAATGATAGGACTGGTTATAGCCGTTCCGGACGATGTCTAAATTTGTCTCTGGCGTTACCGTTTACCCACGTGAAATACATATATTATGATCTAAAATTGATACGTTGACGACTGGGGAGTGGTCGGCCATCTTCGATTCTTTTGTTTGTCGACTACGGGCTTTCTGACTGTGGGGATTCATCTGATATGGAAAGAATAATATATATAGGAACAAAGACGTTTAACAAGGAATCTTGTCAAGGTAACGTAGTAGTCGCTTAATTTAAAAATTGTTTGGTTTACTCTATTACTCCTGGTTAAGTGCATTCTTAACGTTATATATTAAACGATTAAAAATATTACTACCAGTACAAAAATAATAACTAGATAACAGAGTTAAGCAGTCCCCGTTAAGGGACGTTTCAACAGCTGGGTCTTCCTCAGACTACACTGGAGAGTAATGACAATTGCATCCGGCACTCCACAACTTCCACCATCAAAACTATGTCGCCATTGTTTCTTTGCCAACTCAACTTGTTGTCCGTTGATTAAAAAATCCTGTTGCCCGTGTAGACGTCCCTTTTTCTTAGGGCATGTTTTGTCTATTAGGAATTTCTTCAGAAGTTGTGCCATTTTTAAAACAGTAGAGGAAACGAAGACGCTTAACTTTCCGCTCCACTAATCGATGTCTGTTTTGGAGCAGTGACTGCCTCTATGTGGTACGGATAATTATCAGAAGAGTTTGATCAGAAATGGTAGAAGGTCAATGATTGTGACTGCCGGATCATTGTCCTTTATATCGTTAAAGTTGTAGTGAGCAAGTTTTCAATGTAAGATCTTTGCTTTGCTGTAGCCTGTGGAAAACACTGTTTACGGTTACGTCGACATCATTGTTGTTGTGCCCATTTTATAATGATAAATTTCAGCTGAAAAGAATGCTTCATTGGACCACCCAAGTTACTGTTTTGTAGAAACCAAAAACGACTTGGAATTGGATTTTGAATCTGAGTTTCAACAAATTTCCAAAATCAGATAATGTCGCCATGGAGATAGTCACTTGCTGCGAGTTTTCAGCTATAGTGATAGACATTCTCTATCAATTACGGTGTGCGGCTAAGGTTTTATCAAAACAGACAATCTAGCTGACTTACCCACCAAACCATCTTTATAAGTCATGCCTAAATTCAAACAGTCTGTATCCAAAAGGCCTGATCGATATGAGCACAGCCATCAGGCCACCTAACATGCCCTGTTCAAGATGCCGAGGCAGTCAACTTACTCTCAATGGACACCTCTGTAAGCGATCCCTTCAAGTTGGTCCTTGCTATTCTTCAGTCACTTGGCGATATCGTACTGAAGGACACTTAAGACCATTCCCAGCGGTGTCTGTCTCAGAGGGAGTTTGGAGTGTCATCAATGCCCAAACGCTTTGCCATGTGGATGATACCTTAGGCGACTAAAAGACTGCCCATGGCTGCCACTTAGCCACTGCCCGGATAGTGGCTGTGCGCATGCGTGGTGCATAGTTATATCAAGGACGTGACTCTTTCCATTCCGTATGGTTTATCAAAAGTCAGGGGCGTAGCCAGCCCATAGACTTGTAGAGACGGGCCTACAAATTTTTTGTTTGATTACTCTACCGCTTGTAATAAATTATTCGTTGTTGGGGTGATTTAAAAATCTCAAGAGCTCGAAGTGTTGGTGAGGTTCGTGCGTACTAGTAATGCGTGCAGTTTTCAGGATATGTGGAAATGAAAGTTAGCCAGGCCTACAACTAGTCGAAAAGCTGGCTACGCTCCTGAAAGTACACCAATCCTAGCTAGCGCCGAGAATTGAAAAGCATGCAGCACCGCCTCTGAGACTTTTCCGCCTTCTAATGTTAATTAGTTTGATTCCTAGCTTACTAGGCCAGAACAAGATCTCAAAACCGATGCTGTATTTATCGGAAGAAGCTAAGCTTGGTATCGTGAGTGGGGCTATCGCTATCCTCATTCTTATGGTGATCTGTATGATATGTAAACTGAGCAAGCTACACAAGCAGCCAGCTTACAAAGACTCTTCGTATCTGAAACAGACCAACAAAACACCCCCAGGAAAAGTTCCGCTAGCTCAGTATCCCAGCTTTGCCGTGGATTGTAGCGAGTGTGAGCAAGAAAAACTGAGCAAGATGAAAGAGAACGTAGAGCAACAAACTGAGCAAAGGTTTAGTCCACCTAGAAGTAAAGGAACGATTAAATTCTCAATGATTTATCAAAGTAATTTACATAGTCTGTTACTGAGCATTATTGAAGCAAACCAGTTGGTTGGAAAAGACTTCTGGGATACCGTAGATTCTTACGTCAAATTGAGGCTACAACCGGACAACGAGGGAATTTTAAGGAGGCAAACCAAGGTTGTCAGGAAATCTAAAAACCCTAAATACGGCGAAAGTTATGAATTCGACATGTCATTACAAGACGTTCAAGACTCGACGCTTCATTTGTCTGTCTGGGAAATTGATAAATATTCCCGGCATCACATAATTGGAGAGCTTCAACTAGAACTAGGTCACGTGATCAAGGCTGATGAGTCGGCTGCTTTTGACAAGGAGTTAAGGTCGTTTCAGAGGGTGAGTTAAACTTCCGGTTAACTATTTAAAGAAAATCTTAGGGGCTGTTCACACTTGGTGCCTGAGAACCAGAGCCTGGGCATCGGCACAAAATGCTTTGAGTTCACATCTTGAGTACACGATATGTAACTGTGTTCATAATTACCCCCATTTCGCCATGTCAGACGCCATTTTAAAACATGAGCTTAGCAGCGAGTACGAAAAGAACTAACCAAAACGGTGTGCACCCAGGAAGCCTCGAGTTGGTGCCCTTGCTCACAGGAATGTGGGAAAGGTCTATTGGTAGCTTGTTGTTGTTCAAGACTAACACCCGTCAAAAAGACCCGAACCTGACGAAAAGTTAAAACAGGGGCACCCAACGTCAATTTTTGGAAAATATCTGTTCGGAAGACGATTTGGGATCTAGAATTTTCGGAACATTTGTTGTAAGATTTCTTGCTTGCCTGCCTCTCCTAGGATTTTCGAAGATCTAAAAAATGTTATAATTGCCTTTTTTAACGGATTTTTACGCTAAAAAGGTCACCTAGAATTTTCGGGAGCCTTTTTTCTGGCTGAAATTTTCGAAAAGGTAAGTTTTTATCCCTATGAGTTTCGGATCACTAGACTTTCAGCTAGGAAATCCGAACAGATGAAAACTATTTAGGGGATAAAAATATGCCTATATCTATCGTTTAAATCCTAAAATACGTTTAACAATGCTATGTTTAAATGGTTTTGAACTATATTCTCGTTGGGTGCCCCTTTTAAAGATAAGTATTTTAACCAGCCATCTCTCGATTCTTATGATCCTAGTAAAATCAAACATCTTCCCTGTTTAAACTAAACCGTCTTTCTCATCTTCCTCCCAGACAAAAGCCAACCTGGGTGAGATATTATTTTCTCTCAGTTATATGCCTACCGCTGAAAGAATGTCTGTGGTTCTGATGAAAGCCAGGAACCTGAATCCACCTTTCAGTGACTGGAACACTGAATCAAGGCCAATAAGTAAGTCTCAAAAACCCAGGATTTGATTTGCTTGAGCTTTACGAGCCAAGCGAGGCGAACGAGGCATTTTGTGCGAAGCGCGAAATGTGTCCTCCCCTCGTCTCGCGCTTCGCGCAAAATGCCACGTTTGCCTCGCTTGGCTCATAAAGCGCCAGTTATGCAGGCTAGATTTGCGCTTAAGGGCCTTCGAGCTACGCAACCACGACGGCAATGAGCTCGATTACCAGCCGCTTCGGAAATAAGCCGACGTTCCTCCCCCTCGAGGCGGTACAAGACAGGCAACGAGAACTTCAGGAAAGCAATTGGTTAAAAGCAAAACAACAGCCCTACACGTGCATCACGTATGCTTCTTGTACATTTCAGCTTTGCCGTCAGTGCACGATAAAGTCGTGAAATTTCCTAACCTGTGAAACACGCGTTGTTGGAGGGCGTGCGCAAAGCGCGAGCGAGACGAAGCGAGGGGTAGTTTCGCTCTTCAGGCTTGCGCATTAAAATCGGCCTTAGCATTCCCAATAACGCCCGTTGAGCAGGGTTGAAATTTCTCAATTTCACGTTTTATGGAGGAGGCAAACATAGACGACGTTTTTCTCTTTCTTCCTTAACAATTTACCTGTAAGAAAATTCGTCAGTATCTGACAAATTTAACGAGATGGAACAATAGCGATGAAGATTGATATCACGCGAATTCAGTTTTGAAAAGACGTTTTTGCTGCCGTTGCAGTTGTGGTTACTTTCCCGGGAGAAGTCAGTCGCGTGAACTAGCGATTAGCCTGTACGGGCGTTCGGATAGTGGAGTGTGGCGCAAACTAAGAGAGCAGGAAAAAATAATTAGGAAGAGAGGGAGGAGAGGGAGAGAGAAGGAAACTCTCGCTCTTACCCCTACCTCTCCCCATTGCCCTTTTTTTTCTGCTCCCATCTCGATCTTTGTGCTGTCCCCACGATCTGAACGCCTGGAACAGTCTAACCAGCGATATCCCACCGTACTCATACCATTTTGCCGTTTTTAAACAGTTTTTTCTGAAATAGACTGTGCGGTTCTTTTAATTTTAGCTTTGACTCGTTAAAGGTCTACCGAAAATTGCTTACTGCAAAAATTCTATTTGAACTGAAGTTTGGTATTAATTTATGAATTTTGATTTTGAGGGGGTCTCCCTCCGAAGTTCAATAAGAACTTTTCGTTTATTTTTCGAAGATGACCAGACTGCACTGACGGCAAATCGATAAGTTCTTCCCTTGTGTTCACAGATCCATTCATAAAGGTGGTCCTTCTTTTCGACGGCAAAAAAGTGAAGAAAAAAAAAACTTCCACCAGGAAACAAGAAACCAACCCAGTGTACAACGAGTGTATGATGTTCGATGTCCCCCCTGACCTCCTTCATAGAATTCTCTTGGTTATCTCAGTCGCTGACTCGAGAACAGACTCGGCGAGAAGTGATGTGATTGGTCGAGTGGTTATAGGTTCAGGAACTACAGGGGAATCGCTTAGACACTGGCACCAGATGCTCATATCACCTAGGCGACCTGTAGCGGCCTGGCACCGCCTTAGACTGTGATTTGTATAAAACAAAAAGGAACCAACTTCAAAGTTACGTCGTGGCTTGTATTTGTTTTAAGTCACGCTGGTAAAAAAGACTTTGTTGAAGTGGGACAGAGGAGACTTGAAAAAATGGGGCATGGAAGAGATGCGCATAGAAAGAAGGGAGGAATTTCAGTCGCTACACTTGTCTTAATTTCGTAGTTATCATTATCATTATAATTATTAGAAACCTACTCCCACTTGAAGATGGTGCAGTGTTCGGCGTGAGAGAGAGGGAGAGCTCGGTCGATCGCGAAACCATCTTTTTAACGTGAAAATGATTGAACTGAGAAAATCAAAAGAATTACTATTTTTGATCTGTGATTTATCAATAAATTAGTCTCCGACTGACAGTTCATCCAAGAAGTTTGTTTGTTCATTTGTTTCTTCTTTGTCTGGGAAGAGACGTATGTTTTCAGGGTTTTTTAAAAAAACAATTGATTTGGTAACCTGCGAAAACAGCCGTCCCTCCTCGCTAGGAGCCAGGAGGACGGCTGTTTTCTCGGGCTGTTGATTTGGGGTTGGAAAATAATGCTTAATACAAGGGCACCCAACAACTGTTTTCGGTAAAATATCTGTTAGGAGAAGCATATATTGCCTAGAATTTCCTATTATTCGACGACGGCTAAAATTTCTCGATGACCGTTCTATTCATGTACAATTTTCGAAGCTCATCTAAAAAATTCCCTACGATTTTCTGAAGTTTCACATTTCACTCGCCAGGGTAGGCTATTTTTCGAAAAAAAAGGAAACCTAAAATGTCGGATTCAAAAATGTGTTTTACAATAACTGTGCGAATCCTTGGGCGCTGATTGGTCGAGAGCAATGGTCTATGAGAGGAAGGCCATGGAAATGACGCAACATGTCACGCAGTGCCGGTTGTTTTGTTTTGGGGTTTTCTTAAAAAAAAATAAATGTTATTGTAAAAAACAAATCGACCACAATTGTCCATGGTCCACACTCTTACAGAGCGTAGAAATGACGCCATATAATGTTCAAATCTTTGCAGTGAAACTACTCGCCTGCGGGTCGTGGTTCCATTTTATGACGTCGTTTCTATGGTCTATAAGAGTGTACACAATAGAAAATTGTGGTCGATTTGTTAAATGGAGAGAGAAATCAGAAAAATTCTCATTTTTGTAATCCGTTAAATTGCATCTAAAATTTTCGGTCGAAAATAATACTGAAGCCCTTGAAATTTCGAAAAGACTCAAGTTGCCCTAGGATGACCGAACAGATACAAATTTTATAGCGTCGCTGTGAATGCATTTCTGGAGATCTAAAAGTGCCTTCGACAGCCTTGAAAAGTGTTTTCAATGAATTTAGGAAGAAAACGTTGTTGGGTGCCCCTGTTAATAGTGTCTCAACGTTGGAAGTGAATCTAGTAAGATCTGCGAAGAAGGCTAGCAATTCCACGGAGCAACAATGACGACAACAAGATCCAACATCAGATATTGATAAAGTATACAAGGTATAAAATACCCTCGACCCAGGTACAGGTACTAATTACAAGAACCGCAAGCGTAAACAGTGAATTTTTTCTAGTTTAGAAGACGTAATAAATAAGTGATCGTCAGTGGAAGAATTGTGTTATCTTTATCAGAACCGTTTTATATGTAAAATAATATACTTATTTTTCATTTTATAGCCCGTCATTTCTAGTCATTTAACTGCATAGAGAGTGGAGAAAGTGATATTATCAGAGTCGTTCGTGGTTATTTGTGTATTGATCATCTATTATATAGTGAATTTTCTAGAAGTTCAAGTTCTACGCATCTTTGGACTCAAAGCCGCTAAAGCAATATAAAAACCCAGTTTATAAACACTGATTGAAGACCAACTTGTAGATTACTCGGCTGAAAAATCAGAACTCCTGCATGCTCAGTCAATAAATCTAATTTTTCATGTGCAGTAATTTTTTGAGGATCAAATTTATCAGCCTGTTGGAAAAGAACCTTACAACATTCAAAACATTTCCTGCATTCACTGACAATCCACACGTACGTATCCGGATCTTTTGAAAACGGAAAGTTGTTTTGCGGAGTAGCTCGCGCACGTATTAGATGAAAACGGTCCTTGAAAGTTTGTGAAAACGCTCTTCAATGTGGACATTTTTGAAAACGCTACACGGAGTTTCCGGTATATTCAAGTGGACAGATGAAAACGGAAAAAAATAAAGAATGTTTCATTAACTGTCACCTTTTTCCTCTACAGCGTATCTTAATTGTTTCTTTCAGGCAAAATGTTCAAGCTTGTTCTTTCAGAATACGACATAATCAGTAGGGCTTAACGATTTGTCAGGGGTGATAGGAGGTTCTGAGTATGTATGTTTATTAGGTGCATAAACAACTTAAATGACTTAAAAGATCAGCACATTTAAAGCCAATCCGTCTTAATGAAATGTCCTTTTCCATTCAGAAACGGTTGCTTAAGGATGGAAGAAAACGATTTGAAAATGATATGTGGTCGTGAATTTTATCAAAAACTACAAAAAAATCCGGTTTTCAAAAAAAGGGCAATAAAATTGAATGACTAATACGCAACCCTCAGAGACCTACAAGAATATACAAATTAGTTTTGTTCTTATGCTGCTGTTGTTGTTTTTTTTGTTCTATTATTGGAGCTGTAATATATGCAATCAGAAGCCTATAACTCTTCTTCTCCGGATGCAATACTCTTGGTGCAAGCTGGCCAAGTCAGTTTTTACGAAAAACATTAAAACTTATTAAGACCTTTCACTTTTACACTCTAGGCTAGAAGTGAAGTTATAGAAAAACTCTTCAACAGAAACACCAGCTACAATACACGAGTGGAACAACTAAGAAGTATAATTTTTTGAAGACATATTATAAGCGAAAACGCGCGTCATTCCACGAGCCCCCAGTGGTCGATGGACTGAAAGCCATTATTAAACCGTAAAGATAATGGACATAATGAATTTTTGTGGCATATGTCATGTAGAAAAATGAAACCTTTCTTCTCCCTTTATCATACAAGTTGAGTTTTCACGCCTTTAAAAACCCAAGAGAACTCGAAACGACTTCTTTTGGAAACAACGACCTCGGGCTTGTGATTGCCATTAGTTTTACATGCAGTTCCCTTTTGGACCGACAGGGTCTTTCAGCATTCAGGGCTTTAATAAAAGGAGAAAACAGCCCCTTATTTGGGTCTAATTGACTTCTTCGCGAATCATAAAACTCCCAGAACGTTTTTCATATCTTAGCAGGCGCTAAAATATAATATCGAGAGACAAAAACGCCAGAAAGATGTATAATCACATTGGATTTTTTACGTTAACATACAAATTAAAGAAAGTTAATTTCCCAGAGCACTGTAGATTGTTTGTTAATTTGCATTTGAAAGGTTTTAACAACCTATTATTACGTTTGTAGGTGGGTATATTTAGCTTGCGTTTGCATTTTCAATTTCTGTCGGTCTTTTTATCAAATGACCTGTCAAATACTGTTGCTTACTCTCAAGCTCAGGATGTAAATTACGTCACGGTATAAATTACCAATTATTGCTTCGGTTAAAAGCACTTTCGTTGAGAAGGTTTGGGTTTTTTTACGTCAAGTTGATGAATCTGTGTCGTAAGTCAAAAACGTTTCATGAATTTAACTTCCAGTGTGGTAAAAAGTCACCAAACCATAAATTCCAGAAGTTATGAGTACTTTAGATGGAATCTTCGATTCACAGCTGGGATTAACATGCATTCGAGTTTTGCTAAAGGTAGGTGACATTTATTTTACGTGGTTAAAGTTTCAAGTAACTTATTCAGAAACATTGTAGAATAGTGCCAACGATCGTCTTTCAGCTTTAGAACGCTAAAGCTTTCAAAAAAGATGTTTTTACATTGCAGATTGCGAGATTACTTATGCAAACATGAACAAAGAATCCAGCTGCCTTTTAACGCAGGAAAAAATATGTAGCTGCACGTTTATTTCCCTTTCAAAACATGACAGTACCGTACCTCGGTACTTTGAATTCCTTAATGATAAAAAGCGGAATAATGAACGCAGTCGGGTGTGAAAAAGGCAAAAATTGACTTTCACTAAATTTCAAAATTTCGTAAATTGATATTTTCTATAGTTACAATAGTATGCAGTAATACAATGTTGTTTAAAAGTTTCAGATGACAAGTTTTTTGGTAGCTAATTAAAAATTTAAACCCCTAGTTAGATCAGTCTTCAAATATGTCCTCGGTCGCATGCAATAAAAGGAAATGGCAACCTTCAGACCGGAATAATATTTGATATATTGTTGGATTGGAAAAGCAGAACTACAGGGTAATAGGTTTTCATAGAGAACAAACTGGATTGAGCCGTCTTCTTGGACCTGTTGAAATCGCAACCGGTCGACTGAATCAATTGCTCCATTGATTACTGTCTGGTAAGGAATCAGGAGTTAAGTCCGTTTGTTTATGGAGAGTTAATATTTAGAACGCTACTAAGAACGTTTTACCTATTATTTAGTACTTAACTGGAACCGAAATGTCTGGTTTAATATTCGAGTACGCCAACTTCGAGTAGCTATGGACTAAAAACTGAAAAACGCGTTTATATAAAAGCGCTGGGTTAAAAATGGTCAAATGCCCGTCAGTTGATCGATAACAAGTGTCACAAGTCAGGATACAAATATAAAATTCATTCAGTAATGAGCGCATAAACTGGCGTTATAAATTTTATCTCGAACTTTCTGGCTTTTGAAGTATCGCGGTTCCTTNTTGCTCCATTGATTACTGTCTGGTAAGGAATCAGGAGTTAAGTCCGTTTGTTTATGGAGAGTTAATATTTAGAACGCTACTAAGAACGTTTTACCTATTATTTAGTACTTAACTGGAACCGAAATGTCTGGTTTAATATTCGAGTACGCCAACTTCGAGTAGCTATGGACTAAAAACTGAAAAACGCGTTTATATAAAAGCGCTGGGTTAAAAATGGTCAAATGCCCGTCAGTTGATCGATAACAAGTGTCACAAGTCAGGACACAAATTTAAAATTCATTCAGTAATGAGCGCATAAACTGGCGTTATAAATTTTATCTCGAACTTTCTGGCTTTTGAAGTATCGCGGTTCCTTTCGATTCTCGGATTTGTGGTTCACCATAGGTTAAACCGGACTTGTTTGTATTTTATTTATTGCTGGTTTTCACAGTCACAACTCACATGTAAATAGTATGGATATGGCAACTTAATCTTCCGCTATCGCCAATACCACCATGACGCTATACTGCTGGAGCTGTTTCCTACCTTAATATGAAAAAACTTGAGCTTTTTCCTCATTGAGAAAGTTCCTTTTAAAAACTGTTTGTGACCTCGCACCAGTCCTTCCCGCCAAAGTTTTCAATGAGCGCGGTAAAATTGGATAGCATTCTCGATTTTCTTCCTGTGGGAGCTTTTACCAAAATGGCCGTGTTCGGATTTCGTACCGTACAAGGCGTATTGTGGATTTTCTGTACGTAAGTATTTAAATAGGGAAGTTTAACGTTTTATTAAAAGGTCATCCGTAAAGTTTAAGCTGAATCGAGCCGTGACAGTAGATGCAAATTAGATGTTTATCCGAAGATTTCGGCCGTTGGGTATATTTTTATATTGATCTTCAGACTTATAAACGCCTAACGGTTTAAAGCTAATGTTGATCCTTCAGAATGCATGTTTTAAATCGCACATTCAGTTATTTTCTCGGTAAATTAAGAGCCTTAACTTGCAAATCGAGGCTTTTTGTGCCCTTAAAAATTGAATAAGATTTTCTACAGTATATCGCCATCACCCAGCGGGATTCATTGTCTGGAATGAACAATCTTTTAACAAAACGGCAGGCAGCCTACATTCCGTGACAAGTTTATTCAAAAGAGGTGATACCAGTCTTGCTTATTAGTGAATTAGATTTATCTAGATTAAGCTTTTCAGCATCTTATCATATCCTCTACAAGGAAGATTTGCATTTTGTTAGGGGCATTGCAAGCGGTCGGGAGAGGAGACTGAGTGGTAATGACAGTGAAGTGGTGGGCCATGAGAAGATGTGCTGAGATTTGAAGTCTGTGAATGCAATGATTTACAGGCTTAGCTTCTTAGTGGGGAAGCAATCAGATATAATGTTGCCAAAAGGCATGGATTTTTTGTGGCAGGCAATGCAATAGGTGTGGGGTGGGGAGGGGTTGGCCAGGGTAAGAGAAAGAAGAATGAAGTGAATACTATTGGAACAATGCATGCATGTGGACAGCAAAATAACTTTGGCAGTAAGAAGAGCCAATCAGATTACTCAAAAGACATTATCTTTATTATACAGCATACCATATTCTGTGTCTTGGTTAATCGCCTTCCTCGAATAATCAGCCCACATCAACCCCCTTCAGTCTTTCACAAACATTGTCACAGCTGTTTGCATCAATTTGTATTTGCAGAATAATGCTCAATACTTTGTTGTCCAATCCAGAAAGCAGCTGAGAAAGACTGATTGGTCAATGGCTTGAATTGAGCTTCAATGACCCAAATTTAGAACACTCTTAAAGCCTGTGTTCACTCCATTAAATGTGATTGTCTTATGACTGAAAAAGAAGATTTGAAGGGAAGTACTGAAAAAATATATAGTCACCCTCCATTGCTCTCTCTAGAATAATCACCTTTTTGGTGCTTAAAGAGAAAAGATTTCCTCCGCCTATTGTTCCAGGAAGTATGGTATGTCAGCACAATGCATGTCTTTAAATTTGGTTTAATTTACTTTCAGAACCATAGGGTACTTTAGCAAGCTGTGTTAAATTGTATCTGGAAAGAAAGCCCATGGGAGTTTCAACACTTTCAAACAGAACCATAAAACTGAACAAAAGTGACGAGGAGGACAGCAAGGAGGAAAAAGCCATGCCAACAATCAAGCCTCACAATGTACAAACTCCAAAACCCCAGGCAGCAAAAGTGGAAGGAAGTACGTATTTAATTGGATAACTTAGACATTTTATGGACTGTTTTTATAAATACAGGTTAATGATAATGGATACATTAGAATGTTGAGTGACATTAACCTTCAATATCTAGAAAAGGAATAATATTTTTTTCCTGAATAGTTAATTAGAAGGTACCGAGAAGATCTCTTGTCACAAATGCATCACCTAATCATGGTGAACATTGACTAAAAGTAGTGTTGGGAAACAGTTGAGATCTCATGAATTGATCATTGGAAATATTGGATTGACCCACTTGATCAATCATTGATTATGATTATGCAAAATTTCCTTGTTTTTATTTTTCACCTTTGTGCCAGTCAATGTACATGAGTCTTTTGACTGTAGACCCGTCTAAGCTTTTATTTTTTTCTGTGCTTTTGGTTAATCAAATTCTCTTTTTTCTGTAATTATAAGATTTTTAAAAAGGCAACACACAAGTTTATGCTTATAGTTGTCAATAAAATATTTATTTATTTTTTTTTCAGTGCAATAATCGATTGAACATTTCCAATAATTGATTATTGCATCGCTTAAAGATTTCAATTGATGATTGATTATAATCGTCGATCCGCTCACCACTGACTAAAAGTTATAATCCTTTTTAATATTTTACAGTACCCTGGTGGATGGTATTTGCCGTTGGTCTGCTTGGTTTTCTCATAGTTGCCGTTTGCTGCTACTGTTTTTGTTATCGGAAATGTTGTAAGAAAAAGAAGAAGGAAGAAAAAAAAGCTGCAAAAGAAAAAGTTGACCTGAAAACAGTACAGCTGCTAGCAGCTAGTTACCAGGAAAAAGTTCAACCATCTGTGGACGAGTTAGATTACAATAGTGATGAATTCCAGTCTGATGGCAGTTCAGGAGTTAAAATAGGTATAGACAAAAATGTAATGTCTAATTTTGTTGTAAGCTTATTTCCACACAGCTAGACCTTTGCATGGCTGGGATGAGCCCAGGGGGAGTGGGTAATCGACCAAAGTTTGGGTTTTGGTGAGCCACTGAGGGTTTGAAACCCTGACTCTTTTTAGGACAAAAAAACCCTAAAATATGTACCCTGTTTAGGACAACACCCTCAATTTTATTACCCTGTTTAGGATAAAGGACGAAATGCACGCCGTCTTCTTTCAAGGGCATTTATTGGCAATTGCAGTAGAGCAAATTCACATTATAGTTATTATTACTTCTGTATACTTGGAGTACAAACAAAATAATAAATTCTTTCATCAAGCAAATCAAATCAATCATGCAGGCAAACCTCTGTTTATAATTAGGCCAAACTTATGAGAAATTATAAACCCTGTTCAGGACAGATAGGACAAAAACCATATCCTGTCCAGCGGCACATCTCCGTATAGGCCATATAAGGGAGTACACCCTCCAGGTCACGCCCATCCTCAGTAGGAGACATAAAAGTACTGTCATCTATGAATAATTTTGTACTAAATACATTGACTATGAAATTAAATTGTGTGCTTTTTTTGCTGTGACTAGGTCGAATCCACTTCACCCTAGACTACAGTTTCAATGAGAATTCACTGACAGTGGGGGTGATAGAGGCACAGGATGTCCCTGCTAAAGATTTTAGTGGAACATCTGATCCGTATGCTAGAGTCATGTTATTACCAGACAAAAAAAAGAAATTTGAAACCAAGGTGTGAAATTACAGACTTTTTGGTTTGTTGTGACTTCTCTTGGATTGTATACAGCAGAACTTTGATATAACAAACCTCTATATAACAAACGAGGAAACTTTGCCAGTCCCTCGGCCCTTCGTTATATAGAGGTTCCACTGTATAAGACACATAATTAATTTTGAACTGCTCAGTGTGGCAGGTTTCCATCAAAAAATGTAAACATGGATAGCTTTCTTTCAATGTGATGCCCGATCATATACAGTTTCAAACCTCCTATGGAGATGTCATAAAACTTAACCTGGCCATATGTATTTTTGAATATTATTATGTCCAATAACAGTAAAACAGAAAATTGATGAGAAAAATTAAATAATGCTCTTTAAAAACTTATAAGTTACACGTAAATGCCAAACGATTAGCAAGTCACACGTGGCCCTGGCCATCTTTTTATTGAGCCAAAGTTGCAAAGAAATTGTAAAAGTTGCATAAAAAGGTGACATCAAAACATTAATTAGTAAATTAACAAAGGTTTTTTTTATTTTTTGTAATTTTATAGAGATCCTCATTTGGCATCCCATTCTTCCATCCCTACAATTTTGATCTCATCTGCAACTCTACTCGTAACAGTTTACTCTCCCATTTTATAACAGTCTGAAGCTGTTTTTCAATTAACCATGTTACTAATTAAAGAAACTCTGAATAAATTCTGATCAATGACACACTTTTCTTCATATCTTTAGGTTCACAAGAAAACTCTAAATCCTATATTCAAGGAAACGTTTGTGTTCAAGAATATTCCATACAGCGAAATAACAAATAGAACTCTTTGTATCGAGCTCTACGACTTTGATCGCTTTTCCAGACATGACATTATTGGAGAAGCCAAATTGCCATTAATTGATGTTGATTTAGCAACTAATATTGATGAGTGGCGTGCTCTGATTCCACCTTCATCTTCAGGGGGCCTCACTGGTGTACATGTAAGTTAAATTTCTTTGCGTTGAGCCTTGTGTATACTGAGGACCAAAGTAATGTAAAACTTGAATTCTTTCAAACCAGAAGCATATAGGTTATACTTCTGTTTGAAACCTAGGGAACAGCATAGGGTGAGAAAATGTCTTACATTTCTGACTACCTTCTCACCTTAAATCACATTTAGTACTTAACTGGAACCGAAATGTCTGGTTTAATATTCGAGTACGCCAACTTCGAGTAGCTATGGACTAAAAACTGAAAAACGCGTTTATATAAAAGCGCTGGGTTAAAAATGGTCAAATGCCCGTCAATTGATCGACAACAAGTGTCACAAGTCAGGATACAAATATAAAATTCATTCAGTAATGAGCGCATAAACTGGCGTTATAAATTTTATCTCGAACTTTCTGGCTTTTGAAGTATCGCGGTTCCTTCCGATTCACGGATTTGTCGTTCACCATGGGTTAAACCGGGCTTGTTTGTATTTTATTTATTGCTGGTTTTCAGTCACGGCTCACATGTAAATAGTATGGATATGGCAACTTAATCTTCCGCTATCGCCAATACCACCATGACGCTATACTGCTGGAGCTGTTTCCTACATTAATATGAAAAAAACTTGAGCTTTTTCCTCATTGAGAAAGTTCCTTTTAAAAATTGTTTGTGACCTCGCACCAGTCCTTCCCGCCAAAGTTTTCAATGAGCGCGGCAAAATTGGATAGCATTCTCGATTTTCTTCCTGTGGGAGCCTTTACCAAAATGGCCGTGACCAAATATATGTCGGATTTCGTACCGTACAAGGCGTATTGTGGATTTTTTGTACGTAAGTATTTAAATAGGGAAGTTTAACGTTTTATTAAAAGGTCATCCGCAAAGTTTAAGCTGAAGCGAGCCGTGACAATAGATGCAAATTAGATGTTTATCCGAAGATTTCGGCCGTTGGGTATATTTTTGTATTGATCTTCAGACTTATAAACGCCTAACGGTTTAAAGCTGATGTTGATCCTTCAGATTGTATGTTTGCATCGCACATTCAGTTATTTGCTCGATAAATTAAAAGCCATAACTTGCAAATCGAGGCTTTTTGCGCCCTTAAAAATTGAACAAGATTTTCTATAGACTCTACAGTATGTCGCCATCACCCAGCGGGGTTCATTGTCTGGAATGAACAATCTTTTAACAAAACGGCAGGCAGCCTACATTCCGTGCCAAGCTTATTCAAAAGAGGTGATAATATTTGTTTTATGGTTACCAGTTTTGCTTATTAGTGAATTAGATTTATCTAGATTAAGCTTTTCAACATCTTATCCTATCCTCTACAAGGAAGATTTGCATTTTGTTAGGGGCATTGCAAGTGGTCGGGAGAGGAGACTGAGTGGCAATGACAGTGAAGTGGTGGGCCATGAGAAGAAGTGCTGAGATTTGAAGTCTGTGAATGCAATGATTTACAGGCTTAGCTTCTTAGTGGGGAAGCAATCAGATATAATGTTGCCAAAAGGCATGGATTTTTTGTGGCAGGCAAGAGGTGTGGGGTGGGGAGGGGTGGCCAGGGTAAGAGAAAGAAGAATGAAGTGAATACTATTGGAACAATGCATGCATGTGGACAGCAAAATACCTTTGGCAGTAAGAAGAGCCAATCAGATTACTCAAAAGACATTATCTTTATTATACAGCATACCATATTCTGCGTCTTGGTTAATCGCCTTCCTAGAATAATCAGCCCACATCAACCCCCTTCAGTCTTTCACAAACATTGTCACAGCTGTTTGCATCAATTTGTATTTGCAGAATAATGCTCAATACTTTGTTGTCCAATCCAGAAAGCAGCTGAGAAAGACTGATTGGTCAATGACTTGAATTGAGCTTCAATGACCCAAATTTAGAACACTCTTAAAGCCTGTGTTCACCCCATTAAATGTGATTGTTTTATGACTGAAAAAGAAGTTTTGAAGAGAAGTACTGAAATAATATATAGTCAACATCCATTGCTTTCTCTAGAATAATCACCTTTTTGGTGCTTAAAGAGAAAAGATTGCCTCTGCCTATTGTTCCAGGAAGTATGGTATGTCAGCACAATGCATGTCTTTAAATTTGGTTTAATTTACTTTCAGAACCATAGGGTACTTTAGCAAGCTGTGTTAAATTGTATCTGGAAAGAAAGCCCATGGGAGTTTCAACACTTTCAAACAGAACCATAAAACTGAACAAAAGTGACGAGGAGGACAGCAAGGAGGAAAAAGCCATGCCAACAATCAAGCCTCACAATGTACAAACTCCAAAACCCCAGGCAGCAAAAGTGGAAGGAAGTACGTATTTAATTGGATAACTTAGACATTTTATGGACTGTTTTTATAAATACAGGTTAATGATAATGGATACATTAGAATGTTGAGTGACATTAACCTTCAATATCTAGAAAAAGGATAAAAATTTTTTCCTGAATAGTTAATTAGAAGGTACCGAGAAGATCTCTTGTCACAAATGCATCACCTAATCATGGTGAACATTGACTAAAAGTAGTGTTGGGAATCAGTTGAGATCTCATGAATTGATCATTGGAAATATTGGATTGACCCACTTGATCAATCATCGATAATTTATGATTATGCAAAAATTTCCTTGTTTTTATTTTTCACCTTTGTGCGAGTCAATGTACATGAGTCTTTTGACTGTAGACCTGTCTAAGCTCGGAATTTTTTCTGTGCTTTTGGTTAATCAAATTCTCTTTTTTCTTTAATTATGAGATTTTTAAAAAGGCAACACACAAGTTTATGCTTATGGTTGTCAAAAATATGTATATATATATATATTTTTTTTTTTCAGTGCAATAATCAATTGAACATTTTCAATAATTGATTATTACATCGCTTAAAGATTTCAATTGATGATTGATTATAATCGACGATCTGCTCACCACTGACTAAAACTTATAATCCTTTTAATATTTTACAGTACCATGGTGGATGGTATTTGCCGTTGGTCTGCTTGGTTTTCTCATAGTTGCCGTTTGCTGCTACTGTTTTTGTTATCGGAAATGTTGTAAGAAAAAGAAGAAGGAAGAGAAAAAAGCCGCAAAAGAAAAACTTGACCTGAGAGAAGTACAGCTGCTAGCAGCTAGTTACCAGGAAAAAGTTCAACCATCTGTGGACGAGTTAGATTACAATAGCGATGAATTCCAGTCTGATGGCAGTTCAGGAGTTAAAATAGGTATAGACAAAAATGTAATGTCTAATTTTGTTGTAGGCTTATTTCCACACAGCTAGACCTTTGCTTGGCTGGGATGAGCCCACGGGGTGTGGGTAATCAACCAAAGTTTGGGTCTTGGTTAGCCACTGAGGGTTTGAAACCCTGACTCTTTTTAGGACAAATAATCTTAAAATACATGCCCTGTTTAGGACAATACCCTCAATTCTAATACCCTGTTTAGGACAAAGGACAAAATACACACCGTCTTCTTTCAAGGGCATTTATTGGCAATTGCAATAGAGCAAATTCACATTATAGTTATTATTACTTTTGTATACTTGGAGTACAAACAAAATAATTTCATCAAACAAATCAAATCAATCATGCAGGCAAAACCCTGTTTATAATAAGGCCATATTTACGAGAAATTATAAACCCTGTTCAGGACAGATAGGACAAAAACCATACCCTGTCCAACGGCATCATCATAGGCCAGCCATATAAGGGAGTACACCCCCCAGGTCCCACCCATCCTTAGTAGGAGACATAAAAGTACTGTCATCTATGAATAATTTTGTACTAAATACATTGACAATGAATTTAAATTGTGTCCTTTTTTGCTGTGACTAGGTCGAATCCACTTCACTCTAGACTACAGTTTCAATGAGAATTCACTGACAGTGGGGGTGATAGAGGCACAGGATGTCCCTGCTAAAGATTTTAGTGGAACATCTGATCCGTATGCGAGAGTCATGTTATTACCAGACAAAAAAAAGAAATTTGAAACCAAGGTGTGAAATTACAGACTTTTTGGTTTGTTGCGACTTCTCTTGGAGTGTATACAGTGGAACCTTGATATAACAAACCTCTTTATAACAAACTCCTCAGTATAACGAACAATCTTCTTCACCCCACCAATAGTAAAGTATATGAAAAAGAACCTTTACAATAACAAACCTAAATATAGTGAGCAAATTTTGTTAGTCCCTCGGCCCTTCGTTTTGTCAAGGTTCCACTGTATAAGGGGCATAATTAATTTTGAACTGCTCAGTGGAGCAGGTTTCCATCAAAAATGTAAACATTGATAGCTTTCTTTCAATGTGATGCCGGATCATAGTTACAGTTTCAAACACCTTATGGAGATAAGTCATAAAACTGAACCTGGCCACATGTATTTATGAATATTATTATGTCCAATAATAGTAAAACAGAAAATTGATGAGAAAAATTAAATAAGGCTCTTGAAAATAACTTATAAGTTACACGTAAATGCCAAACAAATAGCAAGTCACACATGGCCATGGCCATCTTTTATTGAGCCAAAGTTGCAAAGAAATTGTAAAAGTTGCATAAAAAGGTGACATCAAAACATTAATTAGTAAATTAACAGAGTTTTTTTTATTTTTTGTAATTTTATAGAGATCCTCATTTGGCATCCCATTCTTCCATCCCTACCATTTTGATCTTATCTGCAACTCTACTCGTAACAGTTTACTCTCCCATTTTATAACAGTCTGAAGCTGTTTTTCAATTAACCATGTTACTAATTAAAGAAACTCTGAATAAATTCTGATCAATAACACACTTTTCTTCATATCTTTAGGTTCACAAGAAAACTCTAAATCCTATATTCAAGGAAACATTTGTGTTCAAGAATATTCCATACAGCGAAATAACAAATAGAACTCTTTGTATCGAGCTCTACGACTTTGATCGCTTTTCCAGACATGACATCATTGGAGAAGCCAAATTGCCATTAATTGATGTTGATTTAGCAACAAATATTGATGAGTGGCGTGCTCTGATTCCACCTTCATCTTCAGGGGGCCTCACTGGTGTACATGTAAGTTAAATTTCTTTGTAGTTGAGCCTCGAGTATACTAAGTACCAAAGTAATGTAAAACTTGAATTCTTTCAAACCAGAAGCATATAGGTTATACTTCTGTTTGAAACCTAGGGAACAGCATAGGGTGAGAAAATGTCTTACATTTCTGACTACCTTCTCACCTTAAATCACCTGANGTATTCATGTTTTGAAGTCCTCTTACTATTACTTTGAGCTACCTATACACATGCAAAGTCTCTGACCTTTCCTACACAGACCATGGATAAATCTTAATAGCAATGTTAGGGTGTCACCAAGATTTCAAGTTGCTGGGTAAATACAAAAAGTAGGAGGGGAATAAAAAAGCTAGGGGTTTCGAAAGTAAGCGGGGGCCATGTTCATGGTAGCCGGAAGAAATCCCCCACCTCCGCCTCTTAATGACAGCTCTGAATGTAATAGGAACAAGCTGTGCATTATTGGTACTTCACACAGTAAAATAACACTTAAATTTTTTAACTACACACTTTCAGTGGTGTCTATAGAGTGGAACCCATAAGCAAACACTAGATTTTACTATAAATCTTATATAATATATAATTATATATGAAAGGTTTTGAGACAATATTATGTATATTTTTAATATGTGGTCAAGTTTTTTAGGATGAGCAATCCTTTTCTCTTAAAAAATTATTGAAAAGTGAATCATTGGATGATGGTATACCATAAATGACCTATTTATAATAAACACCCACTTCAAAATAAACGCCTCTTATCTACTGGTTAAAATTTTATTAGACACCCATCTCTAATAAACTCCCCCTGTCTAATAGATACCCCCTATAGAATTTAGTCTAAAATACTTGGAATTAGCAAAAAGGTGCAAAATCATTCAAATCATTCAGTTTCTTGCTTGATTAACAAAGCTTGGTGTATTTCATCTTGTTCGATGTTAAGTTTAAAACAAGGATAGACTAACGATGGCAACACAATTACAATGAGCGAGGATTCTGGCATAAATGTTGGAATTTCAAAGAGTGATATGGATCTCTAAAAGGCCTTGACATATCAACTGATGGAGTGGAAATTCCGCTATATTTAAACTCTCTTGATATTTTTGCAGAAACTGTATTAGTTTTGTTGAGATTGTTACAGTAATGAGAACGCTCCCACCTGGACCCCTAAAATTAAATAGATGTCCAGGGCGTTTATTAGATGTCATGAAGAAATGTTTTGCTGTGGTTACATGAAGGTGGAAGTCTAGACTTGCCACAAGTCAACCTCATGAGTTTCTAGGCAAGCAGAGGGAGCTTTTTAGGTCGCGAAGTGGCCGAGGGAGTTGGTGAAAGGGCCAAGTGACCAGGAACTTATTTTTGAGACTAGGACAGATTGGTTTTTCTTGTTGAAAATTGATTTCTGCAATTTTTAGAAAGTACCCAGCATCCAGCATAATTTGATAATATTTACATTTTTATTGAGTACATGCAATAGAAACACATATTTTCAAACAATACTATGGTCTGTGTATCCTATGTAAAACCAGTAAGTTCATTGCGTACCGTCTTGTTTCTAAACGAACGAGACAAGTTGTAATTGAACAGACACAATTTCTTAGTACTCCATTTTTGTGTAGCAAATTTAAGTTAGAGAATATTTACTCTGAAGTAAATTTTTGCCGGAAAAATGTTTACCGTAATTCTTATTTGTGGGAACTTATTTTGGCAGATCGCTGGAAAAATCGCAAAAATTAGAACCCACAAAAATTTTGTGCCACACTGTTGTCCTAGACCCACACTTCAAGTCTCTATGAATTTGACTCTGTAAATTTTGAGACTTGATTACCTACCATACACGTAGGCGGAGGAAGAACCAAACTGATTAGCTGAAGAAAGTAACAATGTTGTTTTTGGTTGGTTCTGGTTATATTGTGCTATCCAAGTGGGAAGGACTCAAACACTTAGAATAAATAATTCCTTTAGTATTGTAGAGGGGTATTTATTTATAGATGAAGGGATTATTTTTAACAAAAATATTAACAATAATATTATTTTTTATACATTTTTATCTTTAATCTTCGGTAAAATTCAACACTTCTGTAAGCTGGATATCCACTTGATTTTTCATCATGTTTTAAAGGGAAAAAAAAAACTTTTTAAAATAATGGTAGGTTCAGTGACAAAGCTTAGGTAATGTGTACCACAGAGCAAGAATTTAGGAGATGTTGTAATGTTAAGACTCTTAATCAAAAAGCTCAATAAGCTGATTCCTTAAAAAAAGAGGGAATACAAAGGAACCCACCCTCGGACACCAGCATAACATGGACACTCGTACAAAACTGTGGAACCTTTTGTTTGTCCTAACCCTGTAATCCAAAAGTACATAGCTTCAAAATTTGCCACATTACATTATTGCAATAATTTTAGGACTTAACTTACATGCCAGGATCATAATTATCTTCCCAGGAAATCATATATGAGGGTTGCTGATTTATGAATGAGTAAAGTGAATATTGAAAAGGACTAATTTATGAAAGTGATTTACACAGAATTTGACTTTATTGCTTCATTAATACAATAACAATAGCAAGAAAAGAGACTAGAAAGAAATTTAACTTCTCAAACTCATTAATAATTCATAAAGAAAATACAAAGGAATTTTATGTTTAATGAGTGTTTGGCAATCAGGCGAAAAACTGTTCAGTTTTGCACCCTTAATTTCTCCTAAAATCATTTTGTTTGAGAAGTAATATCAAGTATTCGACACAGTGTTTCATCACCAAATGAAACAGTGACCTTAACGTTTGTCAAAAATACTCCGCTGAGCGTCGTATTTTCAACTCTCTTCTCAGTGTTTCATGTAATATATCAAACATGAGATGCAGTGTTTCATCACCAGATGAAACACCGAGAAGAGAGTTGAAAATACGACGCGCAGCGGAGTATTTTTGACGAACTTCGAGGTGTTTCATCTGGTGATGAAACACTGTGTCGAATGTTTGATATTTCTTCTCAAACAAAATCATTTTTGAAGGAGAAATTAAGGATGCAAATACTAAGCAGTGTTTCATCCGATTTCCAAACACTCATTAAACATTAATTTCCTTTGTATTTTCTTAATGAATTATTAATGAGTTTGAGAACTGGCGATGAAACACTGCGTCTCATGCTTGATATATTACATGAACATCAGAGAATTAAATTATGTATTTACAAAATTACCGAAAGGATAAATCTAGGCATAAATTGCTATCATCACTTAATAACAATATATCCGTTCACTTGCAAAGTTTGTAGCTTCTGCCGTCACTTTCTCCACCTTACTGTTAAGTACCTCAGGAATCCTCCATTTACAGTTAACCAGGTGAACACAGCTGCAGAGGAATTCTTGTTAATGATGGGCATTATTCTTTTGCTTCTCTTTCTCAGCATCTTCCATCTCAAAAACGTATTTATGACCCTGTGAACAAACAAAATGTCAATTATCATCATCATCTATCCAATCGTACAGGCCAATCATGGCACGAACTTAAATCCTGGTACACACGTGAGGGCCCCAGAAAAAGGTTTTTGGCGCCATTTCACAGATGAACTTAACCAGAAATTTAGTTCCATCTGTGCCACAGACTAAAGAAGATAAGATGTAGGAAACTCACCACTAACTCATGCCAGTCATGCTTTAGCCTCCACAGAACCCAAAACACCATTGTTCCTCCCATCACCTTGGACAAGATGAAATGAATTCGCTTTGGTTTAGGAAGACTGGCTATCACACCACCTGCCATCTGAAATCGATTTAATAAAGCATAATCATATCAGCAAAATCATTTCTAAAAGGGAACAAGTGTGTTTGTTAGGTGAAATAAAATGTGGCACCATGTCTCTTCAGCTACATGCGTAACTTTTACAAGCACTGAATATCCCTTTTGTTGAGATTGGTTATTACCTCAGGGTGCTCATTAGGCATCGGAAAAAGGAGAATTCACCATTTACCAGGCAGAATTCTCCAGCAAATGTTCGGAAGCCTATGGCTATTTTTCATTCAGACTAATGAAAGTCCTGTTATCTATGATATATTGGAGTACAGGCAGAGAGATGACTGACATCAAGGCAGAGATTTTTTTTCTCACAAAGCATGGTTTGGAAAAAATGTTTGAGATTATTCTAGACTGCAGGGTTCAAAATAAAATCACAGCTTTTAGCCTGAATCTGTAGGCTTTTGTTGTCAAAGCTTACTTTTCTAGGCTGTCAATAATGAATGAGCGGATCCTGTGAATAGTCAACAATGTGATTTATTATTATTATTATATTATTATTTCTTCACTCACAAACCAGGGCGGAGCTCAAATATGGGAATTCCGTTCTGTCAAGCAGTATGAATACAAAACTGACTTTAATTTGAATGAGTGAAAAGGCTTCACAAACAGCACTAAACAAGTGTTTGTACAAAATAAATCTTGACTGCACATGCAGAAACAAAAAGGCGGTACAAAATGGTTTGTCTGGACAAACTTGCATGTTTCACACTTTAGCAAATGCGTAAAAGAATTAGTCGTTCAGGGTGCACAAGAATTCTCCTTTTCAACTTTTGCAGCATGCTTTAAATTTCCAAACCTTTTTCCACTCTTTCTACTCATTTTAATTGATTGATAGTGATAATCAATGACCAATCGATGGCAGTATTATTGTGGTTATCGATTGGTATCAATTTTCAATAACAGTTAATAGATAAATAATTGACATGGATTGGTATCAATTGGTTGCAGATTGACGGAGTAGGCACATAAATATCACATCTTTGTATGCAGTAATTGTACACACGTTTCATTTTAATGCTTTGAACGTTAACAGGAGAAAGATACTTTTTTCTTTCTCTCCAACACCCCGTCCACAGGTATCCCTTTTTCCTTTGACAACTCAAAAGTTTATTTGCAGAGATAACAATGTGTGTGTTTTCTATAGTTTCAAATTTGTTTGCCTGGATTGTTTGTTACAGTTTTAATAAAAAAGCTTCACTTAACAGAAATATTTGCATGTAGTGGCCAAAGAGGGTCCACAAGCTCGGACTGTAGGTGGCCGAGCTGTCCACGATGGTTAACAACAACTTTAAACGCGCTTCCATATTCTCCTCTCTTCTTGTTAGCAGTAAACAGTTCACCGACGTTCACCTCAAAACGGCAAAGATTATAGCCTTTGACGATGCACCTTATATTCAGTAAAGCCTCTTCCCAGACTTCTTTTGTAGCGGAAGGGCAAATACAGGCAAGTGGGTAATTCGAATACAAGAGCAACAGGGTATATTCTTTGCACTGAGAAGACTGCGTCAGAATTGTTTTACCAATTTCGTCCCCAGGGCTTCCTAAACACGGCTGATGATCGGACATGCAGGTAGCATGCGTAAGGTACGTGACATCTGTTTGAGGTTGCTGTGCCAATCGATAGCAATCGATGAACGGTTTTCGTGTGGTTATCGATCGATCATCAATTGACCCATACCAATTGATACCAATTACCTAATTTTATCGATTGATATTGACAGGTTTTCCGATCATCGATTTCCATCGATTGGATACCCCAGGGTAGTCTACGAATTTCAAGTTCCATATTTTAATTTACTTGTAGGAACATAAGCCTACAATTTAAAAAAGCCAACCTCTCTCAGGTTAGTTAGCTCGTAATCTTCCAAACATGAAGAGGTTACTACCTCTGCAATAATCAACTTTAGTTTTCAATTCTCTTCGTTACACATTCTCCCACTAGCTTATTGCTTGGATAAATCGGGATAAATTAAAGCTACTAACCTTTTAATATTTCACTCTCATGCCAGCTATATAACGATAACAACGTGCTTCCAAAATATATCTACATATATAATCAATTTACAGTTGAATCATATTATACTCACCTTTTCCTTTTAGAGTTTTCTAAGCCGTATAAAAGGAGAACGACGTACTCAAAACTTCCAATATGGCGGTCAAGAAAAGCACTAGATACCAGACTTCCTCGTGATTCTCGCCTTCAGGGCCAGCGGAGGCGTGCAAGACATCATATATGAAGTACCTGCAGAACCCTTATAAGTTTCTGGTACCTGCCATATCTCCCCTGCAGGCCATCTTCAGCTATCTTAGCATGCGGTTAGGATACCACCTTTGTGATCTTTCCGGTAGACGCTGGGACGTTTAATCACCTTGGCGTTTCTTACGAATCGCCTTGAGGTAGCCAATTTACAAGATGACCTCATTGACTGATTTTTGAATTATAAGATATACAGTCGAACCTCCCGTGAGCGACCACAAAATGCAAAGACTGAGTGGTCGCTTACGGGAGGTGGTCGTTTACAGGAATCAAACCACAGGTAACCTCTTCCGAGAACAGTTCGAGGCATATATACTTTATGGAAGATGATTTATTGCATGCAATGTCTAAGATACGACATGTGTTGTTCCATCTTGTCACTAAACTTCCTCGTATGTTCAAAGTAGCATAGTGCACACCGCGAACATAGAGATCAGAGAATGCGTCAAGTGGTCGCTTTAAACAAGAGGTTAAAAACAATGGAAAATCATGAACCATCAGGCCCAAAAATTGGTAGTGGTCGCCCGGGGTGGTCGCTTACAGGAGGTGGTCGTTTACTACAGGCTCCAACTGTAAGGCTTTGACTGGGAAAATTTTGGTGTTTTGGATTGGCGGTCGCATAATTATGGGAGGTGGTCGTTTACAAGAGGTGGTCGCATATGGAGGTTCGACTGTATTCTATACACATACATCTAGCCGGATTTTTGAATACACTAGCGCCAAATAGACCTCTTCCGTCAAACAGTTTTTTTCAGTTTCGGCCAAAAAATATCGTTCAAAGTAGCCATTATAAAAACTAAAAGTGCAACCAATTTCTTTTTTCTCTTCCCCTCCTTTCTTCCTCCTTGCTCTTTCTTTTTCGGCCTCTTTCTTGGTTGTGTGATTTTCGAGCTCATCGGGCGCAAAAAAAAAAACTTGCCTTTTGGCCCTTTTTTACTCAAATGGTTGCAAATTTCGTTAGGTTCTTTTTCGCAAAAAAACGGCCAAATCATGCAGACTTTGGGAAGACTAAATCGACGCTGCTGTCAACGAGCTAACTTGGCTTGTTTTCAACCTCGTCCCCAGGGTTTTTCCGCCAGACCCGGTGTGTTTCTTTACTAAAATCCAAATCCGGATTTTCAATCCGAAAACGGATATTTCGTTTCTTTAATAAGATCCAGAAAAGGATTATTGATCCAAATGATCCACAACGGAGGTAGCCTCCCCGCAGACGTCCTTTGGGGTTCGTTTGTCACGCATTCATTTCTCGTGGTGGAGAAATGAATGCGTGACAAAGGAACCCCAAAGGACGTCTGCGGGAAGGCTACAACGGAGGTGGATTCTGTGGGTCATATGCACCGGATGCTATGGATACATGGTCCGAAGCGTTTCTTTACAACGGATCCGAAAAGAGTGAATACTGCCAGCGGTGACTCGAAACAAATTTAATGAATTCATAAGGTGTTTGACTACACTGCTCATCTTTACGTCTAATTCTTAATCCGAGGCATGAATTAAACGATCCATTTTATCCGTTTTATCGGAGTGGTCAAATCGCAATACAAAAAGAACCTGCATTGTATGGAAACTACCTGACGACATACGCTCATGCGAGAATCTAAGTCTTTTAAAGCGTAAACTTTAAACCTACCTTTTTAACAACTATTATTTTAGTCATTAGGAAGATTTATTTCATTTTATATCTGTTTTATTTAAATGTAAATTTATTTTAATTCTAATTTTTTTCACGTCGTTGAGCGCCTAGATCATTGCTGGATAGGCGCTATAAAAATGTTCTTCTTCTTCTTCTTCTTCTTCTTCTTCTTCTTATTATTATTATTATTATTATTATTATTATTATTATTATTATTATTATTATTATTATTATTATTATTATTTTTGTTGTTGTTGTTTTTGTTGTTGTTCAAGTTCACAAGAACAGAATTGCTACACAACTTCGCCAGCGCGACTTTCAAGACTTTACTCAGTTTCCAGTACATATCTTATTGCAAGACTGGTCCATATTTTGCCCCTCCAAACCAATATCCTTGAGCTAATCGTCAGAATACAATGGAAGATCAGCAAACTTTCAACCGTTTAGTGGCCGTATTATTCTCTCTCGGGGATACTGTCGATATTGTGGGTCGTTTCTATGGAAATGAATGAAAAATAATCTTTTTTTGTATACATCGTTCCTTTTCTTGACGAAAACTCATAATGATCCGGATTTTTTATCTAATCTTGGATTTTAATAAAGAAACGCACCCCTAGAATCGTTAGTTGGAGGGAGCGAGAAATAAAAAAGATGTTGGTAGTAAAAAATGGCAAAAGAGCAAAAGAGTTAAAAATTGAAGCTCATGTCTAAAAGTCGCAAAAGCTGTTTACAGAAGTTTTACCGCGTTCGGTATTGCTTTAATTTTCAGTCCTGATTTTTTCCCTGAACAAAGAAAAACATTTTAAGACTCCTAGCACCTGTTGTCGATCTCTTTATAGCAAAATAAAAGGGGAAAGTTAAGTGAAATCAATTTAATTTTCCTTGAGAAGAAGCTGTATTCTACTCGAAAAATCGTGACAAGAGATAAGAGAGCAACTTGTAATGTTTTGTCATGAAATGATGCAGTTTTCTGTCCATATAATATTCCTCGTGTTGTTTGATTGAAACTTAATTGTATGCAATTCGCGGGGGTGTTTTCCTATACGTAGCTTCATGTCTCAACTTCCTCCTCCGTAATGCCATAAATTAGAAACTATAGTCTTGTGTACGTATACATGACCGCGGTGTTTACCAACGAAAGTGCAAGTTCGAAAGATCAGTTGAACAGAGCAGTTTACATTTGAAAGTCTACCCCGCACAATCGTCAGTTTCTTTATTTTCGACAGATCCACCGGAAAAATAGCTGCAAACTAGGCGTTGTTAATGAGATAACAATTGAATTGCGACACATTCGTTTTCCCTTATTACTCGCTTCATTGCTTAGGTAACGAGACAAAACCGGCTACACATGTTTTTTTGTCTTTTTCTTTCTTTGTCTATAAGACCTGTTTGAATTATAATTTCCGATACTTTTTATAAAGGTTAAAACTAAAGAAAAAAATAACCTTAAATCAAAAGGTGGCATGAGTAAAGCTTAAGTTTTGGGGTAAAAAAAAATCATAATTTTTAAACATTTTTTTCGGCAGGTGTGACTCATTATCCACTTTTATAAAAGAGGCACACTTGAATAGTTTTTTCTCTCAACAATTTTCTTCGTTTGTTGAATAAACCGTTGGCTTAAGTTTTTTCTGAAAAAGATATATATAAAAATTAGACACCTTTTTTTTATTCAGAACCAAAGTAATGTAAAACTTGAATTCTTTCAAACCAGAAGCATATAGGTTATACTTCTGTTTGAAACCTAGGGAACAGCATAGGGTGAGAAAATGTCTTACATTTCTGACTACCTTCTCACCTTAAATCACCTGAAAGTGAAAACTGGTTGGTTGTATGTGTTTTGGGTGTTTCTTTGCTTTCGGTAACTATCGTTGGTTCACCTTTTTGTTATGGTGTGGGTATTGTTTGAAGTGTCAAGATTCAATTTTTTTAATATGTCATTTAGTAATTATTATTGCACCTGTTCGCAACAATACGAAACTATCCGTGCTTTTCATATGTTAAATATTTTCTTTTTTAGCGGTCCAAGTCTGAGCTAGGTCAACTTTGTTTTTCACTGCGTTATGTACCTGCCGCGGGCAAATTACAAGTGGTCATATTAGAAGCTAAAGATCTTAAAGCCATGGATGTCTCTGGCTACTCAGGTAAGCTTCAAGGCTGTCATTAAGGGATGGTGAGAAGAAATGCAAAACCTTGACAACACATGAAACCCTGGCTTTATTCAAGGCTCAAAATTAATGCTTACAAACTTTCCAAATGCAAGTCATAAGAATTTCCCCTAGCATAAATTTCAGGGCTCAAAAAAAAAAAACCATGCTGTCTAGGAAGCATCGAGGCAAGTAAAATCGTTAACTAAGAAGAAAAAGAAGTGGCCCTGGGACCAGCAAAATGTGAGAGCTGCTTGCCCAAAGGACACGCTGGAATTTAATTTAATTTCTTTTCAAGCCCTGAATTTGTGAGTAAGCATTTATCCACTGCTACACCAGCTGCTCTACTCCCCTGGCTACTCAGGTCAGCAGTAGGAAAAAACAAATGAGCTAAAATTGGTTTGGGGATGGAGAATGAGGCAACAGTTTCTCAATACCATTTTCAGAGATTGTGGGTAAGGTTGCAAAGCAGTCTTACAAAATCTATTTAAAAGTTAAATTTGAGTTTTAAAAGATCAGTACTATCTCTGAATGCTACACATTTTTAGTGACCCTATAAAAAATCATTGTCTTTTTATTATTGTTGCAGATCCATATGTGAAAATAGCACTAATTCAAGAGGGAAGGAAGCTAAAGAAGAAAAAGACAACTGTTAAGAAAAGGACACTGAATCCTTACTACAATGAACATTTTACTTTTCAAGTTGCTTTTGAGAACATTGAGCAGACATCTTTGATAATTTCTGTGTTAGACTATGATCGTGTTGGTCGCAGTGAAGTGATTGGTAAATGTGTTGTTGGTGAACTGTCGTCAGGACCTGATCAACAACACTGGGTGGATATGCTGGCATCACCACGAAGAGCAATCGCACAGTGGCACACATTACACAATTAGACCTTTTTATATTTACATAAAACAAAAATAATAATTTATGCTATTATTATTATTACTATTTCAAATGGTTACACATTTATGTTAAGTTTACTAGTATCATTTGTCGCCTTTTTAACGACTACAGGAGTCCAAATTTAAAAGAAAGAAAAGTTTGTCAAAAAAATGAGCAAAAAATGAGATTATTTCAAGGTGATAAAACAAAAATACTGCCACTTATTTTTCATACTCAAGGGAATAATATCAATTGGTATATTTTAGGTCAACTACAGATTGTACTTCTAGGAGTGATGTGATTAAGATTGCAAGGGCTTGATCATCATTTGAACAGAGCTGTAAATTTGAGACTGAGGGCGTGAAAAAAACTTGAATTCCAGCTTGTTATTTTGCTTACCAAGAGCAGTTGTTTGCTTCTCTTTTATGATTTTTTTACATTAGAAAAAAAAAATTTTCCATAGCCCTTGTCCTTTGCGCAAGTGAGCAAGAAAATTTGTGCACCTGGCAGAAAAGTCTTTTGCCCTGGACAACAAGATAGGACTTTTTCAACCCCTTTAAATTCTTAAAGGTCTTGACTAGGCATAGATGTATTCATGTTTTGAAGTCCTCTTACTATTACTTTGAGCTACCTATACACATGCAAAGTCTCTGACCTTTCCTACACAGACCATGGATAAATCTTAATAGCAATGTTAGGGTGTCACCAAGATTTCAAGTTGCTGGGTAAATACAAAAAGTAGGAGGGGAATAAAAAAGCTAGGGGTTTCGAAAGTAAGCGGGGGCCATGTTCATGGTAGCCGGAAGAAATCCCCCACCTCCGCCTCTTAATGACAGCTCTGAATGTAATAGGAACAAGCTGTGCATTATTGGTACTTCACACAGTAAAATAACACTTAAATTTTTTAACTACACACTTTCAGTGGTGTCTATAGAGTGGAACCCATAAGCAAACACTAGATTTTACTATAAATCTTATATAATATATAATTATATATGAAAGGTTTTGAGACAATATTATGTATATTTTTAATATGTGGTCAAGTTTTTTAGGATGAGCAATCCTTTTCTCTTAAAAAATTATTGAAAAGTGAATCATTGGATGATGGTATACCATAAATGACCTATTTATAATAAACACCCACTTCAAAATAAACGCCTCTTATCTACTGGTTAAAATTTTATTAGACACCCATCTCTAATAAACTCCCCCTGTCTAATAGATACCCCCTATAGAATTTAGTCTAAAATACTTGGAATTAGCAAAAAGGTGCAAAATCATTCAAATCATTCAGTTTCTTGCTTGATTAACAAAGCTTGGTGTATTTCATCTTGTTCGATGTTAAGTTTAAAACAAGGATAGACTAACGATGGCAACACAATTACAATGAGCGAGGATTCTGGCATAAATGTTGGAATTTCAAAGAGTGATATGGATCTCTAAAAGGCCTTGACATATCAACTGATGGAGTGGAAATTCCGCTATATTTAAACTCTCTTGATATTTTTGCAGAAAGTGTATTAGTTTTGTTGAGATTGTTACAGTAATGAGAACGCTCCCACCTGGACCCCTAAAATTAAATAGATGTCCAGGGCGTTTATTAGATGTCATGAAGAAATGTTTGCTGTGGTTACATGAAGGTGGAAGTCTAGACTTGCCACAAGTCAACCTCATGAGTTTCTAGGCAAGCAGAGCAAGCTTTTTAAGTCGCGAAGTGGCCAAGGGAGTCGGTGAAAGGGCCAAGTGACCGGGAACTTATTCTTGAGATTAGGACAGCTTGGTTTTTCTTGTTGAAAATTGATTTCTGCAATTTTTAGAAAGTACCCAGCACCCAGCATAATTTGAAAATATTTTCATTTTTATTGAGTACATGCAATAGAAACACATATTTTCAAACAATACTATGGTCTGCGTATCCTATGTAAAACCAGTAAGTTCATTGTGTACCGTCTTGTTTCTGAACGAACGAGACAAGTTGTAATTGAACAGACACAATTTCTTAGTATTCCATTTTTGTGTAGTGAATTTAAGTTAGAGAATATTTACTCTGGAGTAAATTTTTGCCAGAAAAATGTTTACCGTAATTTTATTTGTGGGAACTTATTTTGGCAGATTGCTGGAAAAATCGCAAAAATTAGAACCCACAAAAATTTTGTGCCACACTGTTGTCTTAGACCCACACTTCAAGTCTCTATGAATTTGACTCTGTAAATTTTGAGACTTGATTACGTACCATACACGCAGGCGGAGGAAGAAACAAACTGATTAGCTGAAGAAGGTAACAATGTTGTTTTTGGTTGGTTCTGGTTATATTGTACTATCCAAGTGGGAAGGACTCGAACACTAATAATTCCTTTAGTATTGTAGAGCGGTATTTATTTATAGATGAAGGGATTATTTTTAACAAAAATATTACTTTTTATACATTTTTATCTTTAATCTTCAGTAAAATTCAACACTTCTGTAAGCTGGATATCCACTTGATTTTTCATCAAGTTTAAAAGGGAAAAAAACTTTTAAAAATAATGGTAGGTTCAATGACACAGTTTAATAGGTAATGTGTACCACAGAGCAAGAATTTAGGAGATGCTGTAATGTTAAGACTCTTAATCAAAAAAGTTCAATAAGCTGATTCCTTAAAAAAAGGTGGAATACACAGGAACCCACCCTAGGACACCAGCTTAATATAGACACTCGTACAAGACTAATCCAAAAGTACATAGATGGCCACATTACATTATTGCAACAATTTTAGGACTTAACTTACATGCCAGGGGGCAGTTTCTCGAAAGTCCTGATAATTAACGGGCCTGGTAAGCTGTCCCCGTTTACATTAAGGATCGAGGTTTCAATAGTTTTGCATCTATCATGATAAAACTATCAGTTAAGGAAACAAAATGGAGTAGTTTTTTAGCCAGGACCCACGCTCTTATTCTTTATATTTCGATTTGAATATTTGATTTCGGGCCCGTAAAGTTACCGGGACTGTCGAGAAACGGGCCCCAGGATCATAATTATCTTCCAAGGAAATCATATGAGGGTTGCTGATTTATGAATGAGTAAAGTGAATATTGAAAAGGACCAATTTATGAAAGTGTTTTATACAGAATTTGACTTTATTGCTTCATTAATACAATAACAATAGAAAGAAAAGAGACTAGAAAGAAATTTAACTTCTCAAACTCATTAATAATTCATAAAGAAAATACAAAGGAATTTTATGTTTAATGAGTGTTTGGAAATCAGGCAAAAAACTGTTCAGTTTTGCACCCTTCATTTCTCCTAAAATCATTTTGTTTGAGAAGTAATATCAAGCATTCGACATAGTGTTTCAGCACCAGATAAAACAGTGACCTTAATGTTTGTCAAAAAGATTCTGCTGAGCGTAGTATTTTCAATTCTCTTCTCAGTGTTTCATCTGGTGATGAAACATTGCGTCTCATGCTTGATATATTACATGAACATCAGAAAATTAAATTATGTATTTACAAAACTACCCAATGGATAAATCTAGGCATAAATTGTTATCATCACTTAAAAACAATATATCCGTTCACTTGTAAAGTTTGTAGCTTCTGCCGTCACTTTCTCCACCTTACTGTTAAGTACCTCAGGAATCCTCCATTTAAAGTTAACCAGGTGAGCGCAGCTGCAGAGGGATTCTTGTTAATGATGGGCATTATTCTTTTGCTTCTCTTTCTCAGCATCTTCCATCTCAAAAACATATTTATGACCCTGTGAACAAACAAAATGTCAATATCATCATCATTAATCCAATTGAACACGCCAATCATGGCATGTACTCAAATCCTGGTACACATATGAGGGCCCCAGAACAAGGATTTTGGCGCTGTTTCACAGATGAACTTAACCAGAAATTTAGTTCCATCTGTGCCACAGGCTAAAGAAGATAAGATGTAGGAAACTCACCACTAACTCATGCCAGTCATGCTTTAGCCTCCACAGAACCCAAAACACCATCGTTCCTCCCATCACCTTGGACAAGATGAAATGAATTCGCTTTGGCTTAGGAAGACTGGCTATCACACCACCTGCCATCTGAAATCTATTTAATAAAGCAAATCATTTCTAACAGGTAACAAGTGTGTTTGTTAGGTGAAATAAAATGTGGTACCATGCCTCTTCAGCTACATGCGTAACATTTACAAGCACTGAATATCATATTTGTTGAGATTGTTATTACTTCAGAGTGTTCAGAAGGCATCAGAGATCCGAGAATTTTCCATTTACCAGGCAGAATTCTGCGGCAAACATTCGGAAGCCTATGGCTATTTTTCAAACAGACTAATGAAAACCTTGTTATCCATGATATATTGGAGAACAGGCAGAGAGATGACTGACATCAAGGCAGAGATTTATTTTTCTCATGAAGCATGGTTTTGAAAAAATGTTTGAGATTATTCTAGACTGCAGGGTTCAAAATAAAATCACAGCTTTTAGCCTAAATCTGTAAGCTTTTGTTGTCAAAGCTTATTTTTCCAGGCTGCCAATAATGAATGAGCACATCCCGTGAATAGTCAACAACGCGATTAATTATTATTATACTATTATTTCTTCACTCACAAACCAGGGCAGAGCACAAACATGGGAATTCCGTTCTGTCAAGCAGTATGAATACAAAACTGACTTTAATTTGAATGAGTGAAAAGGCTTCACAAACAGCACTAAACAAGTTTTGTGCAAAATAAATCTTGATTGCACATGCAGAAACATAAAGACGGTACACAATGGTTTGTCTGGACAAACTTGCATGTTCCACGCTTTAGCAAACACGTAAAAGAATTACCGGTAGTCGCTCACAGTGCACAAGAATTCTTCTTTTCAACTTTTGCAGCATGCCTTAAATTTCCAAACCTTTTTCTACTCTTTCTACTCATTTTAATTGATTGATATTGATAATCAATGACCAATCGATGGCAAAGATTGTTGTGGTTATCGATTGGTATCAATTTTCAATAACAATCAATAGATAAATAATTAATATGGATTGGTATTGATTGGTTGCAGATTGACGGGGTAGGCACATAAATATCACATCTTTGTATGAAATAATTGTAAACACGTTTCATTTTAATGCTTTGAACATTAACAGGAGAAAGATACTTTTTTCTTTCTCTCCAACGCACCGTCCACAGGTATCCCTTTTTCCTTTGACAACTCAAAAGTTTATTTTTAGAGATAACAATGTATGTGTTTTCTATAATTTCATGTTTGTTTGACTGGATTGTTTGTTACAGTTTTAATGAGAAAGTTTCACTTAACAGAGATATTTGCATGTAGTGGCCAAAGAGGGTCCACAAGCTTGGATGGTAGGTGGCCAAGCTGTCCACAATTGTTAACAACAACTTTAAAAGTGCCTCCGCATTCTCCACGCTTCTTGTTAGCAGTAAACAGTTCACCGATGTTCACCTCAAAACGGCAAAGATTATAGCCTTTGACGGTGCGCCTTATATTCAGTAAAGCCTCTTCCCCAACTTCTTTTGTAGACATAATGACACGGAAGGACAATGACAGGCAAATGGGTAATTCGAAAACAAGAGCATTTTATCGATTGATATCGATTGATCGATTGGTTTTCCGATCATCGATTTCCATCGATTGGATACCCCGGGGGTAGTCTACGAATTTCAAGTTCCATATTTTAATTTACTTGTAGGAACATAAGCCTACAATTTAAAAAAGCCAACCTCTCTCAGGTTAGTTAGCTCGTAATCTTCCAAACATAAAGAGCTTACTACCTCTGCAATAAGCAATTATAGTTTTCGATTCCCTTCGTTACACATTCTCCAACTAGCTTAACATTGCTTGGACAAATTAAAGCTACTAAGCTTGTAATATTTCACTTTCATGCCAACTTTATAACGATGACAACGCGCTTCCAAAATATATGTACATATATATACAATTACAGTTGAATCATATTATACACACCTTTTCCTGTTAGAGTTATCTAAGCCGTGTAAACTCAAAACTTCCAAGATGGCGGAATATGGCGGTCAAGAAAAGCACTAGATACCAGACTTCCTCGGGATTCTCGCCTGCAGCACGCGGCCAGCGGCGGCGCGCGAGATCTACTCGACGCTGGAACTTTTGATCACTTTGGCATTTCTTATGAATCGCTTTGGGGTAGCAAATTTACAGGATAACTTCATTGACTCCTTTTTGAATTATCAATATACAGTCGAACCTCCCGTAAGCGACCACCCAAAATGCAAAGACTGAGTGGTCGCTCACGGGAGGTGGTCGTTTACAGGAATCAAACCACAGGCAGCCTCTTCCGAGAAGAGGTCCAGGCATATCTACTTCATGGTAGACAACTTATTGCATGCAATGTCTAAGTTACCTTAAGTTATCTTGTCAATAAAGTTCCTCATATATTCTAAGTAGCATAGTGCACACACACAGCGAACATGAAGATCAG